AGTCGTTCCTCACTGGCCACTACTCTTGTTACAACACCTCAGCGAAGTACGATTTCGACGACACATACTTTGGGAGCTTGTAACACAATCTCAGCTAGAGATTGGTCGCGCTTGAGATGTGGTAGACACAACTATGCGAAAAAAGAAGCAAGTCGATGTGGTCAGTCTAAGAGGTCTATTACAACAATCAATAGCGCAAATCTCCCAGCTCGTAAGTTTTTAGATTGAGTTTACAAGACTAGATACTAATAAGCCTGCTACAGCAATTGGTCCATACGTAAGTCAGCATTGTTCAAACAGCAATTGAAATATTCGTCCGTATTAATCAGTCTCTTGGAATAATAGTCCCATGCTGTGCAGACACCTTTCGGTGTCTTTGTTTCCGGTCAACTCCCTGCAGACTTTGAAGGAAACCTCGTAGAAGGAACAATGCGTGAAAAGACGGAAGCAGTTCTCAAAAACCTACAAGAAGTTCTTGTCACCGCCAAGTCCTCTCTCGATAGGATCGTTAAGGTCCAAGTTTTCTTGACAGATATGAAAGATTTCGCTGAAATGAACGAAGAGTATGAAAAGTGGATCACTCACAAACCAGCGAGAAGTTGTGTAGCCGTTAAGGAGTTACCGAAGGGTGTCAATATTGAGATTGAATGCATCGCCATGCCCTTGAATATTGGACCCAAGGAATAAAACTTACTGATTGTACGGCGGGATCGTGTTGCTATCGGGTGATACCTATCAAGGTGCAGTGCAAATGCACAGATTTTTGTTCCGTTCTGTGCTGTTTTTCAGTCAGTGACCAGGTTCCGGGATGTATGAATGATGAAATGCGAGCTAGAGCAAAGACAGATATTCAAATGATAGTAGTACTTTCTGTTTGTCTGGCTGGAACAATGGCACAGCCATAAGCTTTTTTTCGACTTCGAGACTGGAAGTTGCAGCCATGATAGTCCGGGTATCAACGTCCGGCGAGATTCATTAAAGAATTCGGTATTATGGTCGGCTATTATACGGTTCAGATTATAGATCCGATGAGTGGAGCATAGATAAGACGAAGTATCTACCTCGTATGTACGCCCTGCAGCCTCTCTTTCAATTCACTGCTGGTGTATCCATCAAATCCCGAATAATAGCTTGGGCCCGGCTTCATTCTCTACTTCGGGGCTTCAAGAACTAACGTCCTTACATATTCACCCGATAGTTCCGTTAGCCCTCGAACTATACTATATATGATGGTAGGCATGTGACAATAAGAGTTAAAAGCGTATTAGCAGTCTCCATATTACCTTGAACCTATAAAGTATACAACCCTTCAAGCGAAACCATTTTCTCACTAGCCAATACGTGGCATCCGCGTAAAATCCACTAGCCTCTCAACTCCCGTTCAAGCGAACCGGATAAATTGAGGTAAAATCACGAGTTCATCAACTTCATCATTTCACGGCCCGTCATTTCCTAGTATTAATATCAAATCTCACATATGCACCCCAGACAGTTAAACGATAATCTGGGGAATTGTGTAACCACTTAGGTTAGACGGCATTGATTGCTGGAAATGTCTGGGCATACCTGGAGTTTTGCAGGGTATATTGCTAGGGTGGTTTGATAGTTTGTATTCACTATTTTTTAGTATAAATGGGTTGCCCCGAGATTCTTATATTGCCTGTACAATTAATGTGCGTTCTCTTCTTTGCTCAAGTACGTTCCAATCCGACTTTCAAAAAGTGCAGGGCTCTCCAGCTTGTGTTGTAAAAAGAACACCGCAACGAACCCACGCAAGCTTATTAACAATGAAGGCCAATCTCGCTCTCTCTGCTCTTTTCTCTTCTCTTCTTCCCACACTTATCAATGCTCAAGCATCCGGAAGTGGTACAACAACCCGATATTGGGATTGCTGTAAAGCATCCTGCGGTTGGTCCAAAAAAGCTACTCTAGCCACTGGTTCCAACCCCGTCAGTTCCTGCGACATCTCAAACAACCCACTCACCGACTACAATGCTGTCTCTTACTGTGCTTCTTCTTCTGGTACTTCATTCATGTGTGGCTCACAAACACCTTGGGCAGTCTCAGATACAATGAGTTATGGCTTTGCAGCTACGACGATCTCGGGTGGAACGGAGGCGAGTTGGTGTTGTGCTTGTTATCAATTGACATTCACGAGCGGACCAGTGGCTGGTAAACAAATGATTGTCCAGGCTACTAACACCGGTGGAGATTTAGGAAGTAACCAATTCGATCTTGCTGTATGTCTACATTCTCTCCTCACCCCATCACTGAAACACGTGAATATCTCACTAATTCTCCCCTACTAGATTCCCGGCGGTGGTTTCGGTATCTTCGACGCCTGCACACATCAATACCCATCGACTCCCGCATCCGCGTGGGGTGCCCAATACGGCGGTCTCTCCAACCGCACCCAATGCGCCTCGCTCCCCGCCGCCCTCCAAGCCGGCTGCTACTGGCGCTTTGACTGGTTCCTCAACGCCGACAATCCCGCCATTACCTTCAAACAAGTCGCATGTCCAGCTGCGCTCACCGCCAAAAGCGGTTGCGTACGCGCCAATGATGCGATCGACGAGACGCCCACAGGTCCAAGTGCAGTCCCTACATGGGCGAGTTCAACCGGCGCTGCTGGCTCGACATCTTCAACAACTGCGAGCACGAGTAAGAGCACGAGTGTGGGTGCAACGATCAGTACTTCTTCGACCACCAGCAGTGCTGCAAGTGGCGGAACGGGAGCCCCCGTCGTGCGTTATGGACAGTGTGGCGGAATTGGATGGACGGGTTCTACAGCTGTGAGTTGAGAATTGTTTTCTTGCGTCTTGGATTTGTTAATTGTTGATTGTTACTCGACATCTTTTATTGTTGCTGCGTGTTGGTATTGTATCGACATGACTAATGCTAATTGTTTGAATATAGTGCGCGTTGCCTTACACGTGCTCGGTGTTGAATCCTTATTACTCGCAATGTGCGTGAAGATTTGCAGGGTCGGAAGGAAAAGGAAAGAGAGAATAGTCATTAGACAAGCGAACGGATGGATGGATGGCTGGGTAGGATGTCAACATTGTACATATCGCGATGGTTCTCTGTACATAGGGAGGGGCTTTTCAATCATAGTACCCTTTTTGATGCTGTGGCTTCTGGAATGAATCATCAGATGTTGGTCTCAGTAGGTATGAACTGGTGCTTTGAAATACTGTGATAGGAAATCTTGTGGTGAAGCTCATGTGACCTCGAAACTACCGTCTAGCCCATGCTCATCAATAGGGATTGATGTGTTGGTTTCCAATGAATTTCCTTGTCAATAATGATCCATTATGGCACTTCTACTAACCAACACAAATGAAATTGTGTACAGCACAATTAAAGCATTGATTCAAGAATTAGGTCAATCGAATATTTGTTACTGGTATGAATCCAGATTATACAGTGATATTATACATATAGGTGATCCTCCCACAGGCGATCAGTCCTATCAATTTACTTCCTAGACAATAATATTATCCTCATCATCAGACGGGGTAGCCTCATATCCATCAACCTTCGAAACATAAGGAGGCCTACAAAAAACCATCAGCAGGCTCTTTAACCCCCATCCCACCTACAAAATAAGCACACTCACCTAGCCCAATTTCTCAATCCCACCAAGCCCGCCGTACCCACAGCATAAGCCCCCAATAAATTACTCCACCCCGTCTCTCCAATCTGTCTCTGACCAACCGCCAACGCTACCAAATCATACACTAAACATCCACCGAAAATCCAATCACTGTTGCTAGCCAACATACCAAATCCCAATCCTGTAACGATCTTGACAGCGGTTGAAGGACCCTCATGGTCAAAATAAGCTACAGAGCCATTGTGCAGAAGATCCAGAACACCGATTCCGGCGAAAGTTTTGGAAACTACATGGGTGAGGATGGAAGAGGTGGATTGTGTGTTCATAGCTGGCTGACGAGCAAATATGTAGTAGAGTTGTGTGAGGGAATTGATCAGGACGAATACATTTGCGGTTTTAAGGGAGGCGGAGTTCCAGAAAACCATCCAGGCTGTTTGGGTTAGCATTGGTATTTATATCATTTCGTCTAATCACCCCTCCCCCCTCCATTGTTCTAGGACAGGAAATACTCACTAGCAATACACAAATTCCCTACGCAATAAAACGGTACAAAATCCATCATCTTGTCTACCTCCTCCTTCTCCTTGATACTTTTCTTCGGATCCAATTTCCACAAGCGATATAACCATACCAGTTGGAAGATCTGTTGCGGGAAAAAGAAAAGTGCAATGGCGTATGGTTGGGGAGACCAAAATGAAAGATGTGCATCGTGGATATCTTTCATGTTTGGAGAGGAAAGCATGCCATACTGTTGAGCTGCGAAGTCGATGAGGAAGGAGAGGGGAGCGACATATCGCGCGGTGCTGTGGGAGATGCCCATTTTGAATTGGGGATTGGAGATATTTTGGTAGAGTTGTGAGATTGGGGTTGAGGAATTGGATTTCGTGGTAATATCTTATAGTAACCAGAAGGTTGTGAAGAGGCAAAGGGAAGAAGTGAGAAATATGTAATTGGTGGTAATTTATGCTATTTTGTTTTAATGGCGATGACGATGATGATATCGATTTGATAGCTCGCTCCTTCCGGATAATCCGCCCAAAAGTGATGATGTCAACGATCTAAATAAGCTTTAGGTTCGTTCCGGAGATTTTGTCCCGCGTTCAATAATTTAGGTACTACTCCATGTTTTAGTCAATCGAATAAACATGTGTATGTTTATTAAAAACCGTGTACATTAAAATCCAAGGCGAATATTCATTTATATCGATCGACCTCGCGTCTCGTTCCTTCATGAGGGGAAATAAGAGGGGTTAATTTTGTGGGACCAAGATCTTCGAAATATATCGATAGCCCCCCCCCCGTTGTTCATTTGTCTACCGTACTTGTTGTTTTCTTCAGATAGTTGGGATTGTAATTATGATGGGTATGTGAAAGATCTAAATTCGATATATACGCAGCATTAGATATTTTATCCATCAGCTTCTGATGTGCTTGATGTCTCTTTGGTCTGGATAGTCCAGATACTGTGGTTTGTACTAGCTTAAATGTCAAAGTCTTCATTAACCTTATGTCATCGTGAGACATTCGATACCTCGTTGAATCCGATCCGACATCACAGCGAATTTAGTATCATCGTAACTTTTTCTTAAACACTACTCAGCTCAATCCTCATCGGCCCTAGACCACCAGCATCGCTTCCGCTTCCTGATGCCACGCCTTCCGTCTGTGTCTCCAATCCTACCAAAATCGGTCCCTTCAGTAGCCTCCTCAACCTCATCTTGCCATTCATCTTTCTGTCAGCATTCTCATCATCATTGTCACTCTTCGTTGTAAGTCTTTGGAACCCAGCTTGGATATCCTCTAGAGACCTCAATCGCGTCTCTGGCATCCAGATAGCCATTACAAAAACGGCCAGCAATGAGAAGCCTCCAAACATGAAATAAGCACCATAACTAGAATGCGCCAAAAAGATCGGTGTCAAGAACGCCACCAACCAATTTGCGAACTATACAGCCATTAGTCATTCAACTTCATGCCCTCATGTGTTTAATACTTACAAAACTCACCCCCTGGGCCAAACTATTGGCCTCATTTCTAGTCTTCATGGGTTGAATCTCGCTGGCATAAATCTTTCCCATGACAGCCCATGTCGCACAATACGTCAGCGCAAATACAAAAATTAAAACCACGACGACCCAGCGTACAATTCCATAGGGATGGACAGAATCCGAAAGATATAGTGCGCCGATCATGAACATCGACGAAGATAGTATGATACCGCCAACAAGACCAGATGTACGACGCCCCCATCGATCAACGTAAAGGGTAGCTGGGATGGTGATGGCGACCATGAGTATGGCACTTACACCCGAAGCGAGAAATGTGGACGTGGTTCCAGGTAAACCTGCAGTTTCGAAGAGAGTTGGTGCGTACTACTTCGTGTCAGTAATCTGTAGTTGAAAAGTCTGTGAGAGTGATTGCACACATATAAAACCCCATCAATCCCGCTTAATTGCAACGCTCCCAACAAGAAAACTGCCAAGAAAGTTCTGCTCCTATACTCTTTCTCGAAAATTCTCAAGAAGCCCCTGATTCCCTTCTTTACATCCACAGCTACTGTAACTGGAACTAAAATGTCCTTCTCCGCTTCTTCCTTCTCGATCCCCAATCTTTCTAGTGCTCGCAATGCTTCTTCTCTTCTCCCCTTGTGAAGCAGCCATCTTGGCGAATCCGGCAAGTAAGCACATAAGGCTGCAAGGACAACAGCAAGCAACGATTGAATGATAAACGGCGCTCGCCACGACATGGAAGATTCCAAACGGGCAGAACCAAAACAAGTAAAATATCCCGCGCAAACACCAGCTGTGCACATGAATTGTGGTAGCGAAACGAGCATTCCTCGTGATGCACATGGTGCTATCTCGGTGATACATCTAGCTTGATGTTAGAAATTACATATCATTGAATTCAAGTCCCTCAGTCGAACTCACACACTAACACAACCCAACCACAAACCTTCGCCTAAACCAGCGAGTGCTCTTCCTGTCAACAAAACCCCTAATCCATCTGCACCAGCTTCCATTCCCGTCCCTAATGCAAAAACAAGTGATCCAGCCATAACCACATAAAGATGGCCAATTCTCTCAGCCAGCTTACCACCGAAGATAGAGGGCATAGCACCAGTCATCATGATTAATGAGACTGTGAAACCACGGAGTAGGGGTGATAGATCCCCTATTTTTGAGGTAAAAGATGACATACTGGTGATTGCACCAATGGATCCTGTATCGTAGCCATTGAGAAAACCACCTAGGGAAATAAGAGAGGCAAAGATAGTGTAGCCTTTGGGTTTTGATAGGCTGATGGGTTTGATTGAGAACATAGGGACGGATTAATATTGACTGACAAATTTGATATAAATTTTGATAATAAATAAAATGAAACAGGACGTGAATGAATGAATGAATGAATGAAAGCTCCTTTTGAAGACATCATCAAATATAACAGTTTGCGATATCCTTTCATTGACGGTGCATTCAAACCGGTGATTGTGTCGACACGCCCTTCGCTCGTCAAGCCCTTCACTTGTCAAGGCATGTAAGATCTGACATATACATATGATCGGCAAAGAATATCCAATCCCCTCATTTGCCATGATTTCGCTGCTGCCTCTATTAACCCAGCGTAATGTATTCTGATAAACTTGTTCCACTTACTAATAGTAAATACACAACCTGATCAGAAGAACGAATGTAGATTAAAGTCAGAAGAGGAAAAGAATGAGAGCATTCTCACAATATAATCATCATCCGAACCTTTGGAAGGAACCAATGATGGACTGCCTTTCCGTGAACTGGACTGCGAACAGTCAATATTGATGAAGGAGACAGAAGATGCACATTGTAGATCCAATGTGCGGATTGAGAATACGACGTATTGCTGAATTTAGTGCTTGGAAAGGAGCGCGCGAAACTCCCCTCGCGTAAACTGTACTGAGTACTACTTGATCATCATTGCTCCCACCTGAATAGAAGTTTCATCATGTGTGTAGCAGAGCCATGATCTAGTTAGACTTGTTAGTAAATTAGGTCGAATAGAATTGCAATTAGGTATCAAGTTTCTAGAGAATTTCTTATGAAAATCCGATGTTCTTGATTGATGGAACGTTGTTGTCGCTCAACCCACCACGCCGCGTAGGCCACAACCAACATCTTAATGATTCAACTACCCCCCTCAAATCTATATAAGATGATTCACATCCAGATTTCTTTCGACGTTGGTGATTTAATTTCATTAATTCATTGTAACATTTGATCATTTCCTTTTCTAATCATCCAGCTTACCGTAATTCATTTCCGTGAAAAATGTCTACCAACCTCAAGATTCGTGCCAGTGACCTTCCCTGGCTTCATTTTACACTTCCAGATAACTTCAAGGATCTTTGGAGAGAGCATCTACCAGATGACGGGTTGATTAAACTAACGCATGGGGGACTTATATCGAGGCAATATCATCGTTTCTCCCACAACGCCGCCTCGCGTGCTTGCAATCATCGACTGGGCCCATTGTGGATGGTTTCCTGATTATTGGGAATACTGCAAGGCCGCTCATACGTGTTCGTATGAAGGAGAATGGCTGAATGAATGGATCCCAACGTTTCTGACTCCAAGGGGTGAGGTGCATAGGATTTTTGTCGAATACACATATGCAATAAGAGCTTTCTAAACTTGAATGCCTTTTCTCTATGAACTGATCTTTGGTTGAAGGTTTCAGGATTTTATCTGAATCAAGGCTGTCTAGAGTTCTTTTTTTCGAAACATATTCTAAACTATGTCTAAGCCATCCGTTATCTTGAAGACGAGAAGGTTGGCGCAAACGCCGAATTTCGAGATGAGTTCTTTTGCATAATCAATTCATGGCATCCCAAGATTTGTATAGTATAGTATTGCCATTTTGTCATGAATTAATCCTACAATTGCTTTTTCCAAGTTAAACGCACATTCTTTCAGCCCAAAAGTCAAGCTTTGGCCGATTCATAACCCCTAATTCTTATTAACCAGTTAGCTGTATTGGCTTTGATAGCAGACATCATAAGCCGGTTGCCATTACTTGAGGGTACCATCTTAAAGGGCAAATATGAGGATCTAATATTGTTAGGTTGGAAGAGAGAGAAAAATGAGGACGCAATGTGTGTGACTTTTTGATCTTTATTTGCACGTCTTGCGTGTATATTAATATAGCAAAATTTGATGTCTTTGAATCGACTTTCTGATAAATTAAGCAGTCATTTAAAATGAACCAGTACAAATAAAAGCACCGGAATATTCCTGAAAATTGCAAATGTGAAGAGTTGAGAATCTCATGGCTCGTTCCTCAACTTTTGCGAAGTGGATAATTGTTTTAAACGAAGTGATCATGAATATTTGATTCATTAATGCTATCTTATACACCAACGCCAGCTAATATACACCCCTCTAGTCTTGAACAGACTTCTAGTTGTATTGCATATAAGTGGCAGTGGAGTTGAACTTCAAGTTACCCTTGATGACCTTGTCAACTGCGCTCAAGAAATCCTTTTCTGTCGCGACCTTTCTTCTAGCACGAATGGCAAACATTCCTGCTTCTGTGCAAACACTTCGAAGCTCAGCACCGGTAGAGTTAGGGCAAAGACGTGAAATCAATTCCCATCTAATGTCTCTCTCGACAGACATACTCTTGGCGTGGATTCTAAGAATGTTTGCTCGTCCCTCGAGATCTGGTAGCGAGAACTCGATCTTTCTATCGATACGTCCGGGTCTCATCAACGCGGGATCCAGGGTAGAAGGTCTGTTTGTAGCGAACATGACCTTGATGTTTCCTCTCGCGTCGAATCCATCAAGTTGGGTAATCAATTCTAACATGGTTCTTTGTACTTCGTTGTCTCCACCGGCACCATCATCGAAACGAGCCCCTCCAACTGCATCAATCTCATCGAAGAAAATGATACAAGCTTTCTTTGTCCTCGCCATTTCGAACAATTCACGAACCATTCTAGCACCCTCTCCGACATATTTCTGCACCAACTCACTACCAATAACACGAATAAATGTAGCATCGGTTCTGTTGGCGACAGCTCTAGCGCAAAGTGTTTTTCCAGTTCCTGGAGGACCATAAAGTAAAGCACCTTTGGGTGGGTCGATACCAAGGTTGACAAATCGCTCTGGTGATAACAGTGGCATTTCGACGACTTCTCGTAGCTTTTCGACCTGTTCCTTACAACCTCCAACATCACCATATGTAACATCAGGCTTCTCCTCAACTGTCATCATCGTAACGCTAGCATCGATCTTCGGAGGTAAGGGTAATAAGATTTGGTACTTGTTGCGGTCGACACTATTTGAGATAAGATTAGCTTTGTAAATAATTGAGATCGCATTCCGCATACCCAACTCTCATTCCTTCCTCAATATCTGTAGGACTGACACGGTCGCCAAGGTTTACAACGAATTTCGCGATCTGCTTAACGTTGATGACATATTTGCTCTTTTCTGTATCCTTCTCGTCTTGGATAATCTTCGTACATCTTGCAACTTGTAAAGGTTGCTCTTCTGACATCCGTTGTCTATCTGCTGCTACATCCCACAAATGAGGTGGCGCCAATCCGGTATCTGATTCCTGTTGCAAGTTTAGGCCCTGTTTGTAATGCTATAGATGCTGATCTCCTACCTTTACGCCAATCTTCTCATTCACACTTGTTTGCTTCTCTTTGATCTGTTGTTCGAGTTTCTTTAGCGCGGCACCATATGGAGCTGCGCCATAGGTTTTTAGGACTTGAATATCTCTACGATTCGTTAAATACTGAAAGGATACGATAATGCGATGACCTGGATAACCCTACTCATCTGATAAAGGTGTGATCTTCTTCTCCTCAACCTCGTCGTCGGCGAAGTCCTATGAACTTGTCAGAAAGAGTTCTAGCAGCTTGGATAATAATATATACCTTCTTATAGTTCTCCCAGTTTTGCCCCTTTGCGCTGACCTTCGAGATTGTTAGTCAAATGCATAAACACCAGACAACGTAATACGAACCATGATGAGAGCTGAGTGACGAAAGGTACGATGTTGTAAGGCTGTGTTTTAGCTGAAGATTTGATGGGTGAAGTTTCGTAGAATTGGTCGTTGGCGTAAAGATTAAAAATTCAAGGGCAATGTAATATCCTAACCCAAGTTCCTTTCAATGTGGTGGAGAAAATGTGGTTGTGAGAAGTTTAGTTTGTTGTGTTGATAATCCTCCCATAGCTCTTAGGTATCCAAAGGTACGTCGGCGTTGCTTGATAAGCTAGTCCAAGATAAGGTTAGCCGATTTTTCAAAATTCGAAATCTCAAGACAGACGCGCAGTAGGAGTAGAAACGCGACGACGTCACTTCTTAACATATTCTGAGATTAAACGTTCCAGATTTCCTACAGCCAATATCAGATACTTCAAGATGGCTCTTACACAATCAGCAGGAAATTCTACCAACAATGCCTTTAAGGTGGGACATTTAAGTAGCTTAGAGGGGTTGTTCAATAGCTAATGTGGTCTATAGGACAAGGAAAAGCCTATGGCTGTTCGAAATGCCAACATTCTGGCTGCCAGAGGTGTGTTTGGAAAAGTAAAATCATGCGGAAGTAAAGCTGACAAAATACAGCTGTCGCAGATGCATGCAGAACCTCTCTCGGTCCCAGGGGAATGGACAAGATGATTCAAGACGGCAAAGGAGGAACACTTATTACAAACGATGGAAGCACCATGATGAAGAGTATGGCAGTTATGCACCCTTCTGCGAAGATGTTGGTCGACCTTTCAGCAGCACAAGATGTAGAGGCCGGAGACGGAACTACCTCAGTTGTGGTTATCTGTGGAAGTCTGTTGGGTGCTGCAGATAAATTACTAGGAAAGGGAATCCATCCTTCAGTTATTGCCGAATCTTTCCAGAGAGCTGCTGCAGCTTCAGTCCAAATTCTCCACGATATGTCGGTCCCAGTTGCTCTCAGCGACACCGCAACTCTTTTACAAGCCGCCAACACATCTCTTTCTTCCAAAATCGTTTCACAATACTCAAATCTTCTCGGTCCTATGGCAGTAAATGCTGTCACAAAGACGATCGACATTAAGACTGCAGAAAACGTGGATTTGAAGAACATTAGAATAGTTAAAAAGTCGGGAGGTACCATCGAAGATAGTGAGATGGTTGAGGGAGTTGTTTTGACTCAGGGTGTTTTAAAGAACGGAGGAGGACCTATTAGAATGGAGAAGGCAAAGATTGGACTTATTCAATTTCAACTCAGTCCTCCAAAGCCTGATGTAAGTCATTTTGAGGACTATGGATCGAACACTGCTAACGTATTTCAGATGGAAAATCAAATCGTTGTCAACGACTACCGACAGATGGATAAGATTTTGAAAGAAGAGCGAACATACTTGTTGAATTTAGTTAAAAAGATCAAGAAGGCGAAGTGTAACGTTTTGTTGGTATGTTATGTTATAGTTCTTTCCTGAGATGTCTTGATGTGCAACCTATTTATCATTGGAGTGCTAACAACGACCTCTAGATCCAAAAGTCTATCCTCCGTGATGCTGTTAATGAACTCTCCCTCCACTTCCTCGCCAAACTCAACATCCTCTGTATCAAAGACATCGAGCGTGATGAAGTAGAATTCATCTGCAAATCCACCGGCTGCAAACCTATCGCCGACATTGACTCTTTCACCGAAGATAAACTCGGATCAGCCGACCTCGTTGAAGAAGCCCAAACTTCCGGTTCCAGACTTGTCAAGATCACCGGTACAAAGAGCGCAGGCAAGACCGTTTCAATCGTCTGCCGTGGCGCCAACTCCCTCATTCTCGACGAAGCTGAGCGCAGTCTTCACGATGCTCTTTGCGTCGTTAGATGTTTAGTCAAAAAGAAGGCATTGATTGCCGGTGGAGGAGCTCCAGAGATCGAAATCGCATCCCAATTAGCACAACAAGCACGAGAATTGACCGGTACCGAAGCTATTTGCTGGAAAGCATTCGCTGACGCCATGGAAGTAATCCCCACCACACTTGCCGAGAACGCAGGTCTCAACAGCATCAAAGTCGTCACCGAACTGCGCCACAAACATGCAAACGGAGAGAAGAATGCAGGTGTCAGTATCAAGAGTGGAGGTGTCAAGGTTGATATTGCGGATGAAAATGTGTTGCAACCACTTTTGGTCAGCACGAGCGCTATTGAATTGGCGGCTGAGACGGTGAAAATGATTTTACGTATTGATGATATCGCTTTATCCAGATAAATTGTCCATATCTAAAGCAAAAATTTAAGGAAAAGTTGATGGTTATGACATGAGATGTATATTAATGCATGGCGGCGAGTGGGATATCATTGTAGAGATGGATATTTCGCTTAACCCCTTTTGGCATCAGCTCTAATGAATGAATCATGATTGTCCTCAGGAACCAATCTATGTTTACTGGTGCAGGTTTGAAGTAATGTGAGCATATGGAATTCAAAGTGTTTTATTTGCTGTGAATTGTGATGTGAAGACCAACGCCCAAGTCTTTAAACAGAGAGCTCTGACATCTGTTTTCTTTATAATCGAAATACAGTGCAACTTTTATATTCAATATTTACACTAATCGATCCATTCATCCCAGCCCAGGGAGTATACAACCTTCTTGCATGGTTTCAGAGATCGAAAGGGTCCAAGAGATCTGTCTATAACAATCAATCTCTACCCCTTATATAATCCACCCCTTTTCATTCCCCTCCCATTCCCACATCTATTTAACACCCACAACTACCAAATTTCTCGGACTCATCCCATATTCAAAGACCCCCTCAACCCACGCATCCCTACACTCTCCCCTGTCAATCGCCTCTCGCAAAAATACGTATCGATCAACTACAATCATTGACTCTATAACCCCAGCACTAAACGCCATCAGTGACCAAATGATACTGAGTTCTTTTTTCCTCGCCAAATATTGAGACTCGTAAGTCTGGATTTCGGCATCGGTGATATCGCCGACTTTTTCCTGGACCATGGATGAGACGTCGGAGCGGGGGACTTGTGGTTCCTCGGAGGAAGAAGCTGGCGTGGCGGTTAGTTTTTGAATCGCGCCTCGCACATAGCTGGTGAAGGACTCGTAGCAAGATTTTCGGAGGGAGCCGATTATAATGGGGGTTGTGGTGATAGGCCCCTCTTCTTTGTCGTCGCAGCATTCTGTCGTGTTGCACTTTGTGGAAGTGGAAGTCCGTTTGTCGAGATGGTCGGAGGTGTCTAATGGGATGGCTTGTACAACACCGTAATCTAGGAATAGCTTTTGGAGTAAAGCGCGGTAGAAGTGGCGTGTGAAAAATGAATCACTGTCTTTGGGGGTCCAGTTTGCGGGTGCTTGGACACCCATCATTCGAGAGGTGATGTTGAGTGTGATGCCATGCTCGTTGTATGTTGATAGACGGTTGGACATGGGGAAACCGTGGGGATCTGATGCGGGGGTTGAAGAGGAAGAAGGGGGTGGAAGATTCAGAGCGCGGAGATTGGGACGGAGGAGAGGATGTTTGTAGGAAGGAGTGTTGAGACGTTCGGAGAGGAGATTGTAGCAGCAGCCTACAATGGCTATAGCGTGAACCGAAGGATTGAGGAGGAGAGAGCGGATTCCATGATGTGAGAGGTTGCCGCAGGAGTGGATGGATATAGCCATTAGATTTATTTCCGAGGGTATTGCTTCCGAGACACGGGATATGATATCTTCTTTAGCAAGAGCGGTAGAACCGGGCTCCGAAATGATGTTGAGATCACCATCTGGGGCTGAAACTTTCAAATCCTCAATTTGTGATACCACATCTGATAAATCTCCATCTTCAACTCGATGTTCCACGTATTGAATATATCCCTTCCCAACAGCTGGGGTATATATCGTCTGTAAAGCCCTCGCCGGTCGTAAATCTGCCTCTTCGTCCCTATCCACTTTCCCTTCTGCTCTTTTCGTCTTCCCTACCTCTCCCATAATCTTCTCCCGAAAAACTTTCTTATTTCTCATAACCTTTTCCCTCTCCGCCATCCCCGCCAAAATATCCATGCTCTTCGCCCCCTCAATATTCCCCCCCTTACTCTCCACCGCCACAATCCATCTGTTCCACGGCGGACTCGCCAACGCTCTCCCCAAATAATTCTGCCCACTCCCAAAATCCACAAAATGCGTGATTTCCTTTCCACTTTCCTCCTTCACCTCATCCGCAACCCGTGTCACATAATCCGCAAAATTCGTCACCTCGTGTATTTTCTTTGGAATCATGCCCACCGCCACATGTCTTGGTAACTTTCTAGCACTGAGATTCTTCTTCTCCACGCTTCGGATCAGTGAATGTTTGCGGATATTGAGGATATATGTGATGAGAGATTCTGGCGGCGGATTGGCCGTATCACGTGCCAATGAAAGATCATCCCGCATGAGTAAATCTAGAAAATCCATAGAGGGATATTCGAGTAACCAGGCGCGCCATTCTTCGGGGAGAATCTTATGATAGAGACTTGGCTCTCTGATGAAGAAATCGAGGATATGAACACCTCCGCATAGGGTTTGGAAAAGGGTAGAGGTGGTTGCGAAGTTTAGGAGTGAGTCGACGTATTCATCTGCGTTGGAAAAATCATCTGGATATGGAAGTGGTTTCTCTGGAGGCATTGTAAGGTTTGTTGAATATGTTTTTATTTGGTTTCTGATTTTCTGCGATTTTTTTCGAGGAAATTATATCAACCCTTGAATTTTTTTTCAATATCTTTTTTCACGATGATACCGACACAATGTGCGGCTAGTGTTAAAAATTCACGAGCCTCATCTTCCTTGACTTTTTGAATTTTACACATACATATATACATAAATACATACCTACATACATACAAATAATATAATATCATTTCATTAATACATCATCAATATATGTATATATCTTTCTACTCCGTAGATATCTAGGCCTATATATCCAATCATCTCCGAGATCTTCATAATTATCATTATCATCCAATTGTTTCATTCGTCATAGTTATCATTTATAAATATTGATCTTATTATTAATCCAAATTTTACCTGACAGCTAACAAGTACCGGTACTCGAGTAAGTGTATCTTGAATCATGATGGTATATACAGCATTATTAATCATCCAAAGAGTTCCACCAGTTCTGGTATTTATCTCGACGCAAGGTAAGGAGGTTAAATAATGTATGACATCTCAAAAAAGCTTAATTGTGTTAATCCGTACCAGAACTAAGGTTACTCCACATGGAAGTTCGATCCTCGATTTGGTAGTCAATACTTCAAATTATGAACTCGATCACTCGAATTTGATGCTCATATACGCAGTAATCGCTTAGCTGCCATGAATCAAGATACTGAACCTTCAAAGAATGGAATCTTCACCGCTACTCCGACTCCGTCATCTGGCGGCCGTCGACATGCCTGTGATCGTTGTCAGAGGCAAAAACTTAAGGTTTGTTCTAGTCTCGGATTAGTAGTTCGATCATGCTTCATATTGCTGGAAAGTACATGCTAAAGACATCCAGTGTGATATCGAAAAACCATGTCTCTTATGCGTTCGTTCAGGGGCTTCATGTGTAACAACACCGTCTGGAGCTTCAAGGTGTGTGCTACACAAGCTTATGGATGCTATGGAAGCTGACCAGAACGCTCGTTGAAAGAAAACCGAAGCAGGTCCGGAGAAAAGCGGCCCGCAAAAGCACTACTGCCCCTAGTGCTTCGGGGACGCCCTCCGCCGCCCCCAAAGACTGGGACTCTGGATCGTCAAATTCGCGAACTAAAGATTTCCTAGATCATCCTCACCCCCCTAGTCAAGGAGCAAAGGGTATATATTCAAGTCCAGCTTTGTCAAGCTCACTGCATGACGATGACACAATATCTCAACAAACTACACCGTTCCCCGCGCCAGATAAGTATGCTGAGATGTCCGCGATTGGACTTACAAGTAAGGTAAATAAACACCATACCTGATAAGATGACCCTTTTGGTAACCTGTAAGATCTGACTGCTAAACATGGATAGCTTTTTCACATTCACAAGCAAGGATCCATCAACTCTTTGGTAGAAAGCTATAGTACAAATGCTATTCCAGGCGGAGACTTCGTGAATACCCAAAACAAAGATCGCCAGGCGGTCGAGTCAGTTAGCTTAGACTCGCTGTTCCCAGGGTTTGCCTTTCCACCGCGGCCAATTTGCGATTTTCTTGTAGAATCCTACAGGAAGTCGGTGCATTGGTTTATGTTGCTCTTCCACGAAGCTTCGTTTAAATGCGAGTACAAGGAGGTCATGGATAGTCAAGCGGCTAGTCCCCGTCAACTTGGAAGCGTTGTACTATTTCTAATGGTATTTACTATGGGAGCGCGGTACACGACCAATGAAGAAGCATTGGAAGCCTGTGGGACGAATCTGGACCTAGAAGCACTCCAGCAGCAAATACTCAAAGAAGTTCAAGCACATCTATTTGATGTTATCGATATAGGTGGAATCGAGTCGGTCCAGATTTGTATTTTGCTAAGTTCATTTTACATGTACAACGGTAGACCAAACCTAGCTCTAGCTATTTTGGGAGCAGGGGTACGAAGCTCACAGGCAATTGGACTTCACAAGGAGTCTTTATGGGGATCCCTTATCGAGACTGCCAAGGAGGCTCGTCGCCGCACATGGTGGGCACTATATGTTTATGACAGGTAAGCCTAGATTATATACATTATTGATTCTCCGAACATCGAAAGTCTCTTGTTACGTCAGAACTAAATCTCTTCTCAGGTTTTCGTCGATTACATATGGGCGGCCCTTATCCATCAACGATTCTGATTGTGATGTGCGCATCCCCGGTAATCTGGATGATGCCTCCGACGTTCATCCATTGTTAAATTCACTAGAACTTGTGGATGCAGATTCTTCAACCCAAGTTACCTTAAGCTCGTACCATCGATTCAAATTCGCTCTGTATCATATTGCAACCCCTATTATTGGTGACATTTATAATTTGAAAAACTCAAATCCCTCAAACATGGCACAACAGGCTATATCAATCAACACGAATCTTGTGAGGTGGTTTGACCAGCTGCCATCAGAACTAAAGCTAGATTCAAATACAGATCTCGATGTTAGCAATCTTTCAGCTTCTGAGGTCAAGGTCTGCAAGTTATTTCAGCTACAAGCTCTTGTATTACAGCTAGCATATGACAATATTCAGATCATCCTTCATCGGCCATTTCTTCGATATAGTCATTGTTTGGCTGTACTTCCTAAGTCTGCTACGTCTGATTTGCGTCCCACAAGCTTGGAACAATGCAGGCATTGCGCCAGACGAACTTGTAATATTTCATCGCGTTACTCGGATCTTCTCCTGGCTGCTCGAGACACTCATGCTGTTGCATATGTCGCCATTCAAAACTTTACTGCAGGAGTTACATTAGGAATGGTGGCTTTGTCAGATCCAGGTTCGGAACAAGCACAGGATGCAAAAAGAGGGGTCTCGAATTCAATATCTCTTCAGAGAATGCTCGCGGTATCATCTATCGTTCCATTACAAACGGTAAAGGTTTTGGAGCAGCTTTTCCGGCTCATATTCAAAAGAGAAATGGAGATAATGCTTGATGGTCCCCCTTTAAATCTGGAGACTGGCAAAGTCACTTCCAACTTCTCGCAACACGAACAGGGATTCAATGAGCCACCCCATCATCCTGTGCAAAATAAGGCAACACTGCCTAAATCTCCGCCATTGCAGACTTCACAGACCGTTGTGATGGGCCCTGTGCAAGCATCCCGTCAAATTGGAGACAGACAGTCGCAAGCAGAGGAAATGAGGCCAGTGCAAGAGCTTGGTAATGGTATGGGCTGGAACAACTGGTCTTTTGATGCAGGAATTGATAATGCCCTAGAATCAATCCAACAAGGTAATTTAAATTCCATTCCAATAGCCTCTGTTATCTGTCCAATCTCATCTTCCAGCTGCAATTTTACATATTAAGAAAGGAAGTTGTACTCAGCTAATATTTTGACTCACAGTTCTCTGGCAAAATTCACATCCGGTGACAAGTTCAGAAACATTGTCTATGAATACCACTGGTTTATGTGGCAATACATGTGGGCCGCAAAGGCAGATGGCGGCTGGCGATTCTAAAGATCCAATCACTATCCCACCAGAAGAAGTTCAGTCTTTCGACATAAATGAGACTTTAGGGCAGAGTTCCTGCGATCTATATGGGCAATGTTGGATGTGGAATTGGGATCCCTCTGATGGTGATAAGGGACCCAATTTCGGGTAAGCAAAGCCTTGGCTACCTGTCGGACGATTGAAAGAAAATTTGAACTCACGGCAAACGAACTATTGTAATCATGCATCCTGTTTTCTTTTCGACACTTTCGCATTTGTCATGTTATGATCACTCGCATGGATTTGTTATTTTCGGGGGATTTTATTGTATCCAGGTATCGAGCCGTTGTATGAAGTACATATAATACAGGTGGGTGAATAGGGGTAATCCGCAGTAACAACAGCGCGCAATGTTCGATGTTCTCTTTGGGAGAAAAATTCTGTACGGCTCACCTCACAAACTGATCGACAAAATCTGCGCCCAACCCAACCTTTTCATAATGAGCTTTTGCGCTCGAAAGCTTCGAGAAAACATCCTCCACCCCCACCGGATTACCAGCAGGATCAACATAAATATAAGCACCCGTAACATGAAACAGCGTAATCATCTCCTCCACCCCTTCCGGCACTTCTAATGTATGGATATCCCCCGGCGGCTCAAACGCATGGCTTCCTTCGGTAGCCCACCAATCATGCTCCAGATAATGCCATTTTCCCCGCAGCGTCGTCGCATGTACAGGACCAGAATGACGATGTCGTGAAAGAATACCCGAGCGACGCACTCGTAGGATGTTGACGAAATAGCCCTGGGAAACGCAGAGCACAAGCGGACGAAACCAGACGTTGGGGGCCTGTGGGACCCAGAGCTTCTCGTCGCAGTCGAAGGATAGCACGTTGGGGATTACGAGATCCGAGGCGACGTGTGGGAGGGGCTCGCCTTGGTAGGGGATTGCTTCGGTGTCTGGGCGTGCGTGGGGGGTGGTCATGGTGATTGAGGGGGGTTTGTGGGGTGGTTGGTTGGTTTTAGGGAATGCTTGATTTTTTTGGTGAAAAGTTTGTTTGATTAAATCTGAATTTGAATTTGTGTCTATTGTCTGAAGTATCAAATGCATTCTATTCTATATAAATTCCCTTGAAAGAAACCCTGCATCTGATCTCATGTTTGAGCAGGTTTTACTCTGTGAGGTGATTTTCTCTACCCGGTGGACACGAGGCACTAGACCTTCCACCGGACTCCATACTGAACTAGCCGAAAAGATAATCGAGGCTCATCATATAAAACCTACTGTTATCCTCTTCTCGATATCGACGTCCTCGACAGATAGAACAGCCATTTGTTTTACATATCAATCATGCTTTAAATCGTGTAGTGTTTGAAATTTGAAGCTGGGGACATTGAGTCTGATGTGAGCGAAAATTTCTATCTATATACTTATCTCCTTTGAAGACACCTCGTCGGAAAGTTGGGAAACTAGGTATGCATATCTATTTGGGTATGATGCAGATGCTTTTCTGCTTATGTCGGGTATTCGCGATACTGTGTTCTTAATAGCATGGAGAATTTGGTGGCTTGTGAATAATGTATGTAACTATGATGCTATTTCATATACCTTGTTATATTTGATATTTTGGAGATGGGTTCAACTGGTTTTCTTTGGGTAAGAGACTCGTCAGAATATTCGAGATTTTGGGACGGGAATGCACTTGTATTAAAGTTGTTGGTTTGGATATTGTATATCAAGTGCACGAATGAAGATGTGTTTGATGAATATTCGGCAAAAACATATTTGAAAATACCATCCATCTATCTAGTTTTAATATATCCATTGCCCACCTTTATATAATAGCTATTCATCTACAACCACATTACTCAAAAACTCCCATCCAAACAATTCTATCTAACTCCAATAAAACCATTCCTCCCTACAGCTTACAACGACGCCGCAATCGTAGTCTCGAAATCTTCCGGCTCCCGTCCCAGCAATTCCCTCAACAAAGGCGACACAACCGCCGCCTCTCCAATACGGAATGCTTCAAAAGCCGTCGTTCAAAGCATCGAGAGATCAACTCCATGATATGTGAAATTTGATGAATTCTGCGGCTGCTTCGCAAACTCCTCATTGGAAACCTTACGAATGCGCACATCTTTCTTTGCAAGCTTTCCGAGAATCTCCACCGTCTCCTGCAAGGTGAGGATTTTTGCTCCAGAGAGAAGAACCGTTTGAAGACGATACTTGAATCCCGCGGGATTCTTCACAAAACGAGAGAGGAGCTCTGCAGTGCCCTCACCCAGCTCTTCTCGCTTGACCCATGCGATGCCCGGCGCGGCTCCATCATGCGGAATACAGATCTCCTCGACGGGATTCTTGGGGTCGAAAAATGAGGTGTAGAGAGGGTAGGATTCGGAATAGAGTCCCTCGCGCACAATCGTGTATGCGAAACCGGGATGGGTGCGCGTGCAATTGTCGAGGTATTTTTCGGTGTCCAGGTGAGCGCGCATGACGTGGGCGACGGATTCCTGGCTGCTTTCTTGGCCGGCGAAGCCTAGAGAGCCGTAGAAGATGTATTTGACGCCGCTGCGGAGAGCGAAGTCGATGGCGGTACGGTGACGCTGGGATTCGTTAGTGTGGGCTCTGGAGATGGATATAGAGTGGTGGGAATGGATGGCCCACCAAACTCGGAAACTTACCTCTGCTCGATGTTCATATTCTACTGATGCGTAGGAAATGAGGAAGAGAGTATCGATTCCTTGGAATGCATTTTGGAGAGAGTTGTCATCGTCATAGTCTGCTTGACGAACATCCGCGCCGGCAGATTTAGCAGACTCTAATTTTGCAGGATTGCGCGCGATGAAAACTAGATCTTGAGCTGGAAGACGGGGAAGTAGATGCTTGACTGTGCTGCCTCCAATGCCTCCTGAGGCGGGGAAAACACCAACTTTATGACCGGACATCACGAGAATGTTCTTAAGAATAACGATTTGGGATGACAGATAATAGTGGATTTTAGGAATGCAGAAGATCAATGAAATGAGATGGAACTGGTTGTTTGATTTCTGTATCTGAAGTTAACAGACAAGCTGTAGTTATATGTGTTTAGCAAAACAAAAGGGTTTGTTATCTTCTTCTTTTGAATTCGGAGTGCTTTGAAATCAGATATTAAAGGGAAAAATTCGTCTGATGAAGAGAAACTCAAAGAAGCCGCATTAATTTACTTGACGTTATCTCAATTGATGTGGAGTATCTGATGGAACCAGTCTGTATCGTCTGTGTTATACCTAAACTCCTTGAAGACATAGAATTAGGTTTTCCCTACTACGAATACACAGCCAAGGAACCCTATCGTTAACTCTGCAAGAGATCGAAGCAGAAATAAACTTTAAAACAAAGCTACTTGCCACGCTATAGCTAAGAAGCTAGCGGTTTATGCTTTTGGTCGAAGCTTTCTCTAGATATGTGTGAACTTGCATGTCTCTTGCATGTTTCTCCAAGCCTTCAATTTTTCATCCAAGTAAGCGAGTGAGGTTTCTGTTGTTTTCCTCTTTCGCTTTTGGCTATTCAAGCGACCTTTATGATTCCCAGGTTTTGACGTATCTGAAGGCTGAGAACCTACCAATAACGAGTATAGCTTCACCTCCATGCGTATTGAGCTATGTTCTGCTATGTTCTGCTCTGCTCTGCACCCATCACATAACCGTCGACTAAAAAGCGGGGGGAACAAGGGGCAAAAAGGATGAACGATTATTAAGCAAATAATTCAAAACCACCAGTGAGACCTGTCCCAGAACCTGCCCTATACAAATCCGTACTAGCGACCAAGCATCCGATCCAGTTATTCGTCCCGTCCCATACCATACCCGTCTTTGTCATCGGAATTGTACATGTTGATAGGTAGGTATTGAGATAAATTTTCACACTTCCACACGATGCTTCTTCATATCGAATCGTCAGAAATCTTCGAGCTATCATCTTAGCCCACCGGAAGGAAATATTGGCACTTTGCCCCACATCGTTAGTTGTACATCTGAGTAGCTAAGCAGTCGGAAGTCCGGTGGACCTCCACATTGCAAGAAGAAAGCTGTCTATATACCGCAGCAATGTACTGATATCACATAACATAATGAAATTGGAAGAAGGGAGTTTTCGTCCGGCTTATAAATACAATTCCATGCAAGATAACAAAAGACAGCACAGCAATTCATGGCCAAGGTATCAAGCTTACTAAGTATGAAGTGTTTATCGTTGACACTGAAGTCTGATACTATCATCGATGGTCTGTCGTTGAGACGATGGTATGATATGATATGATGCCAACTCGCTACTAGTGGTCGTGGCCATCCATCCGTTTCCACTATAATATGTTACAAGGTATGACGTATCCCTGGATTGGCTTGAGCAATAGCATTGATCATGATCGTGGCTACTCGAGTACTCACTCGTAGACGCCATCGTTCCTGCCGTAAAAATTTGTTTGATGATTAATACTATAAGGTTAAGGTTACTACCCGATCGCCTAGTGTCATCGTAGATTTCAAAGCTTCGTGATTCAGCCTCTCTCCTCATATATATAAAAGGTGCTGCACTTCGAGTTGGGGGAGAAATCATTCTAGTATCAGATCAACATCTTAGAACTTCCTTACAAAGTTCTTGTTTCAAGCATCGCGTCACATAACATAGCATAGTATACTATAACATCCGCCCACGATCCCCATACATCAATCACCACAATGGGTGCAACACGCTACTTAAATATCGACGACGAGGCATCTATCATAACCATCGTGAACGAGCCTTCACCAGATGTCAGTGATCCCCCTCTCCAAATCTCCAATTTTTCAAAATATTAACTTCACACAGGTTCCCTATTTCACACCCAAGCAAGACCCAGTTTCAGGCACAGCCATTGCCACAAAGACTGAAGGAAAAGAAATCCCACCTCTTTTCACTCCCTTGAAGATTAGAGGTGTAGAGCTCCAGAACCGTATTCTGGTACGTGTTCCCTGTTCTATTCTCTACAAATCCAAATCCCACTCACCACCTCCTCATATCACCCATAACTAACAACCCAAAAGCTTTCACCCCTCTGCCAGTATTCCGCCGAAGACGGCCACCAAACCGACTGGCATTTTGCGCATCTGGGCGGTATCATATCACGTGGCCCAGGGCTTTCCTTCATCGAAGCCACTGCCGTTGTGCCCGAAGGACGCATTACGCCCGAGGATTGCGGGCTCTGGAAAGATTCTCAGATCGCACCTCTGAGACGCATTGTGCAATTTGCGCATAGTCAGGGCCAGAAGATCGGTATCCAACTTGCTCATGCTGGACGAAAAGCAAGCACCGTGGCCCCGTGGCTGAGCATGTCGCGTGGTCCTGCTGCCCCTACAAAGAATGTATGTCTCAGATAACTTATTCATGATTTGAGAAGTAATCAATGCTGATTTCCAAAGGTCAATGGATATGAAAATGACGGGTTCACACCGGTAAGAAAATTCGAAGCCCGACGAGCCAGCTCGAATGAATGTGAATAACTGACATGAGATTACCAGGCTCATGGATGGCCAGACAATGTGATGGCACCTAGTGCCATCGCTTACAAGGACAAGAATATCATTCCACACGAGATGACCCGTGATGATATCAAGTCACTAGTCAACGCATTTGGAGACGCAACCAAGCGAGCCATCGAAGCCGGATTCGACGTAAGTTTCCAATCCTCCTTGTCAATGACTTCAAAGACAGCCACTTAACATTAACGAACGCATATAGGCCATAGAGATCCACGGAGCACACGGCTACCTTCTCCACCAATTTCTCTCTCCAGCCTCCAACAAGCGCACAGACGATTACGGCGGCAGTTTCGAGAACCGCACCCGTGTCGTCGTCGAAATTGTAGATCTCACACGCCAAATCATGCCCAAGGACATGCCCCTTTTCTTCCGAGTTAGTGGAAGCGAGTGGTTGGAACATCTTGCCCCTGAACCCAGCTGGGATATCCAAGAATCGATCAAACTCGCCAAGATCCTAGCCACCCGCGGCGTCGACGTCCTCGATGTATCCAGCGGTGGAAATGATCCCCGACAAAAGATTAAGGGGGGCCCGGGATACCAGGCTCCGTTTGCTCGCCAGATTAAATTGGCGGTAGGAGATAGTCTTTTGGTGGGAACAGTCGGATCCATCACTTCGGGTGTGCAAGCAAACGATTTGTTGAAGGACAATGGGCTGGACATGATTTTCATCGGGAGAATGTTCCAGAAGAACCCAGGTCTAGTCTGGACGTTTGCGGATGAGTTGGATGTAGATACCAAGGTCGCAAACCAGATCCAATGGGGTTTTGGTGGACATCGCAGAAAGTGATTTACTAAAAGAAGGGAAAGTTAAAAAGGATAGAACGATAGAGACGGGAGGAAAAGTAGATGATAATTGGTAAATTATCAATCATGTTATAGAGATAGAAACATTCAAGTAAATGATTCCATACTTCCGACAAATTGTTTTATTTGTGTTTGTTGATTTTATTGAAGAGCTGGCATATATGTATGTATCTTCTCCTGGATCCCCCTCCCCTCTCCCCCCTTTTCTTTTTTCTTTACCCACCTACCTTGTATGTATGTATACATACAACTATCAATGACATAATCATAATAAATACAAAGTCATACCAATGTATTCCTACCATCTCAGCTATTCTCGCAACTATATACATGATGATTTTATAGTCAGCATTACTTCCAATTTCAACCAATAGGCTTTTCACACACATCCTACTCCTATCAACCTCATTCCCACAATTAACAAAGTAAATCGTTCACATATTGTCACTTCACATCACCAGACACACCCAAGCCCAACAACACACTCAACTCACCGAATCATTCAACATTTCAATTTCTCTTTCTCTTCATCTACTTCAAGCCCAAATAAAAAACTCTTTGAAAACGTCGATAAAAATGCATTCATTGTCTGTGGTATCCTTCGCTCTAATATCCGCTCTTCAAGCCATTTTCTCTCACTGTATCTATTACAACCGTCCGATCTGAACATCAATCAACTCACAAAAATCCTCCTAGTCTCCCATCCGTCCATCCTGCCTAACACTGATTTTGTCCCAGAACCAAACTCCTCCCCAAAGATACCATGCTATCCTTTTCCCGACAAAATCTCTATTCCCAAAACCACTCTACTCAGCAAGTACACCTCTTAGCATACTCAAGAATCCCTCCTTCAACTTGTACACCTCGGCCACTTCTGGCTTGGCAGGTTCACCCGCAGTTCTTCTTAAATGATCTTGTTTCCTTGCTCTCCTTTTTCTTTCAGCAGCAATGGGGTCCAACTCATCGTCTTCCTCATCCTCATCACTACTGTCTTCGTCTTCTCCATAGTTGATATCCTCGAGATCCCCCTCGTCCAATCCAAAATCGGTACTCTTGAAGGCTAGTGCGCCAGGTATCTGCTCCGGAGCACCTGTACCTTCTGCCGCCATCTTTTGTCTTGTTTTATCAGAATGCCACTTCTTACGTGCTTCTTGCCAAGTAATCAATTGGTTTATTTCATTGATAGCAACTTCTTTATTTAGTTGATTGACGCTTACGGCACCTGTAACAAGAGCATTGATGTCAAGTTTTCCACCTTTGGGACCTTGACGGAGGAACTCGAGGATTCCCTCTATCCAACCCATCAATTGAGTAAAGAGTCCATTATCATGAGTATGTACCTCATGAACGAATTTGTAGAAATTGTGCTCGTGTCGCTGGCATAAATCGATGAATGCTTGAACTGTTTGATTAGGGTCTGCTGAGAAATCTTGTTCTCGGCACTTTTCAACAACCTGTTTCGTGTACCGTTAGTTATTTTCGTCTATCGATGGAATAGAAATACACTCACTTTTATCGTATCCTCAATGAACTCGGCAAAATCAGTGACACTGTCGTACACATTTGCTGATTTATATACTCGTACCAAAGGCTCATAGAAGATTGTGAACAAGTCGCGAAGAAGGCGTAATGTAACCGGTTCTTCAATCATGTTTAGCATCATAGCCTTATCTCGCTGTCTCGTGTACAATTTGAGGAGTTGTTTTAAGTATGAGAACAATTGTGCTCCTTGCTTCATCTCTTCGTCAACGTTCTCCACAGCATTGTTCCAAGCAACATAAGCGTTGTAGATTTTGCCGATTTGAGTCGAGTTCAGGGGCGGTTCGATATCTTCTGACCTTAGGATGGAAACAATCAAGTCCACGCCACTCTCTTCTGCATCAACTCTTATGATATTCTTGAAATCTTCAGGACTGTCAGAGAACTTCTTTAATTTGTCACAAAAGACAGGCTCATTGATCTTATTTTGGAGACCATCGATAGACTTTTGAAAACTTCGAATCCCATCATTCAAGGTTAAAGAAAAGATCCTTTGCATAAGCGATCTCGTTCCAAAAGGTTGAGCTAGGAAGATGTCTAATATGCTAGACATAACAGCCGCCGGATTAGCTATTCGAATTGCATTCTTGATAATTGTGTAGGGTATCATTGAATGAATCTTTTTAGCTTGCGCGAACAATTCCGGGGAGTTGTCTTCTGCTAGGAATAAATGATAAAGAGTCGCTGCTACTTCAATTCGTAACCATTCCGCAAATTTCTGGTATTGAATGCTGAGATCTTGAATGGTTGGCTTATCCTTAATTTCTTTGAATAATTTGGTAAGGCCATTGCTTTCCACGATGTCGCGGCGGAATCTAAATTACTTAGTGAGCGTACAAATAGAGTCTCAAACAGGGATACGTACTCTTCCATGTAGATGTCCAGTTCGGCGGCGCGCTTCCTGGCTATTTCATAAAACTGTTGTTGCTCTACAACCCTCTTTTCGTCCATTAGCCTTCTTCTCTCAACATCTTCTACATCATCATCGGTTAGTTTAATAGGTTGCTGTGACAGGAAATCCTGCATCGCTCGGGTTCCAGCTATTTGAGGATTGGCAAGAAGACCACGGAGGAATGCTCTCAAAGATATGCGTTGATTTTCTCGCCATAGAGTTATGCCCTGAGAAAAATTAGCTCGTGTTATTACAACCTATTGGCAAAACTAACATCTGAGTCTGTAACAGGGGTTGAAGGAGGTTTGAGAAGCCTATCTACTGATGGCCGTGGGGATGATGTTGATGGTCTCGGAGATGACCTTCCGAATGACGCCGCTGATCCAGAGCGACGATGATCTGATAAAATTAGTTGTGATACATCGAAACTTGTAGAAAATTAGTGAACTAACCACGGACAGACAAGTTCTTCATGCCAGATTCGGCGCCCATAGTCCCCATCGTCGAAACCGAGGACATCGAAGACGCATCGGAATCTTTGCCACCCGTAAGACCACTAATCAGGTTTGATGCAGTTGAACTCTCCTTATTTTTACGAGGCATTGGTGGAAGGACTTTGCCAGGAAGTTCTGTTCGTAGCCTCTTGTGAAGTCTACTGAAGTCACCATATCGGCGTCCGATGAAATATGGGATTTCCCCCTTCTTCTTGACTCTGAGAACGAATTCCTAACGTGGTATAAGTAGTTGTTCCACAATTTACAGCCATGATTAACTCACGGCATGTTTGTGGTATCTGATGTTTCGTTTGACTTTTGTCGTTCTCACGCCCGCCACATTTACATCCCAACCATGCAAATAATGGCCTTCTGGCAAAGTCGAAAGAACTCCGTGCTCGATAGCACCCGCATCGACAACTTCGAGTTCAGAAAACCTAATTCTCTCCTCATATCCTGAAGCCGTAGGTATACCAGATACCATCATCAACTCCACTAGCTTCTGACATTTCAATGATAGCTTTCTGCGCTTTGTTTCTTCGAGCCTATCTTCGGATGACGAGATGTGTTTCTCAGCGAACGATTGTAGAAACTTGCATAGTAGATCCGTTAGATACTTTCCCTCAAAGATCCAGACTTTCTTCAACTCACCACTTGTAATTTATCCTGCCAGAACTCCTTCTCCTTCGCTTTATCCAAAAATGGAAATTCGCGAACATGATGTACAAATATGTATCTGAGAATCGGCAGCTCGGAATCTAGAGGAGATACTTCCCCGCGATCGGATTTGAATGGGGCGCCAAATCTCTGTAATGCCGTGGGAGAATTCAACTCGGTGATTTCGAATTTCACTTGTTGCGAAATTAATTCGCGCTTTAGATCTATAGAGAATGAGTCAGTGTCTATGCCAAAGAAGAGGGGTGGGATTGTCGAATACATACAATGTTCTTGCTTTCCAGTAAGTGCTTGTCCTTTATCATCTCCAAAGACGCTTCTTGTGGGCGACAGTATGGCGCCATTTGCTGCCATCTTGGAGGGAGAGGAAGGAGGAATGATGGGATTTCCACCCTCAATCTTATTTTCGTCGTTCATCGAACTTTTGTTATTATGAGTAATTTGAGGTATATTTAGGAAGAAGATTGCGCGTCTCCTAGGTTATTGCGATGTTGTTGCAAGTTGAGGGATTTCAATGTTCCAAGTTGTTTCAAGTTTTGAGGTCGGATGCGATGGGCTATGCAATGCGTAAAGAAGCTTACGGTGCAGCGGGGTAGCTCGTGAAATGATGCTTTTTCTTCTGGTAACCTTAACAGATAGATGCTCTTGCGTCAAGGATTAATAGATTGGTATGTCACCACCATGAACGATTCTAAGAATAACGCATGATCAAATAGAAGTCAAATCACGAACATTGTCTTACTTGATACTCACAGCAGAAGCAGAAGGACACAGTCAGGCATTATATACCATGTATTGGTATTGGAATTTTGGAATCTCTTGACATTTACCATACAATACAGGGATTCATGATGGGTGGCTTAGGGAAATGACGACTGATGTCTATTGTGTGCCGGTCCACGGCCCACGGCACCATGTCACCATTCTAGAATCCAAAGTGTCTCGAGAGTGTGAAATAGATTCCAAGGTTGGTAAATGTACAGCATTTTATTATATATATATCATTGGACGTGAACCTTGTATAATCGACTCGGCATTCACCCGCGTATCCATCTACCTAGTATCAAAAGACGCGAACCCCCAAAACTACCTGTGAATACGCATGAATGTCACTCCTAATGCGTACGTACGGTTAATGTGTATGATATGTAGTGTCATGTTCAACGATGCTAAGAAGAAGATGGGTAGGTTTATGGATTGGCATGTTGATTTCGACCTTTACCAGCATCCGGTTGCTCGGCATGTCAATACTACAAGTCATGGGACCGTCGACCCACTGATTTTTTGGGTCCCGTAAGGCGTAGTATACTTGGAAAAGTGGTACTATTCATAATTAGACTTGGGCTGAGAGGTGTAAGCCCCGTATGGACATTTTCGTGCCAATAAATTATAACTCGTCGAGTACTTTAAGTCTTGGATCCTCTGCCAACTTCTCTGCTTCCTTGTTGACTTCACTCCCAGGTGTTGAGCTTTCCAATATATCGAGAGTAGGCTTCAGCATATTTCTGGTCTCATTTTGGGCCTTTTCCAACTCTCTCAGCGCGGTCGGATTCGAAATGTTGAATCTTACAGTCCCATGACCTTGCCCTTTCGAGGGAATGTATGCCAAAATGACGATGGATAGTAAAATGGTTGCGCATATCGACATCAAAATCCACATCATCTTGAGTCGTTTTCTTGTTTTGTCTTGCCATTCCTCCTCTGCTTGTTCCCAGCCTTTGACGCGCTTTCTAACAACGTCTACCCGTCCACTCAATGTGGTGACTGTATTTCGTCCTTCCTTCACACGTTTCTCCAATGCTTTGATCTTTTGTTCCTGTGCTTCGAATTCTTCAAATCCTTCAAGTTGTGCCCGACTTTCTTGGACAAGCTCGTCTCCCTCTGTGCTAAAATCCTCATTCAGCTGTCTGGTCATGGATGCCAAGTCTTTGAGGGATCCGATCGTCTTGTGAAGATCCCCTAATTTCTCCAAGACGGAATAGTATGTTGCATCTAAATGTCGGGAAGTGTTGTCCGCTACAACGTTCACATCCGTTAAGGTATTTCGCAGTTCCCTAATCCAGCGCATTAGTATCGGAGAGTAGAGGTGGTAAGTAAGACAAACGTGGCCATCATGGCGCCCTTCTGTTTCTCAGCTTCGAGTTCGCCCTCCCTCAGAGGCCTTCTCTCGTTGTTCTTAAACAAATCGAAGCCATCTACAGTAGAACCCAAGATACTAGGCCTTCGACTTCCATTCCGGCTCCCATCAGGTGAAACTCCCTCACTTTTTGATTCTACAGATGGACTGAAAACCCTCTGCAAAGTAGATTGAGACGATTTCTCGTCTTTGTCCCGACGATGTATATGCGGATGGTGATGATGATGATGGTGGTGATGAGATCGGTGAGGTTTCAGGGGAGGAGATGATACTTCAGATACCGACCGTGTGACTTGATGACGAGTTTTATTTGGAGAAACATATTTGGATCCATCACCGTTGGAAGACATGACTCTTTTAGTTTGTGATCAGATGTTGTTCCGTTTCATATTCAGGTTCCGATGAATGCATGTGCTATGAAGCTTGTATGGTGAGATTTAATGACCACTGATGCAACTAAGGTTATAGGGCGGTCGTTAGCACATGGCTGTACGAATTCATTCAAGAATGGTGCTGGATAGGTATTACTGGGTAGGTGTATACTAGGTAGGTATGTTAAAAGTACGAGTTAATAAATCAATTTAGAAGATAATGGAAGATTGAATCCTTTGGTTATTTCTGATATTATTTATCATGTATTTTGAAATAGCTAATATACCCAAGGTCCTTATACTCCTGATCGAATCTTGTTGAATCGCTGTCGAAGTTTCTGTATCGGCAATATCATAACGTCCTTCAACTTCCAAGAAGCTTCGCTCAGTCCGGGTTGACTTCATCCTCGATGATAGGAGACAGTCCTCATTGGTGCTGCTGTGTCCGACTTTTAGTAGGCATATATCGTGCCATCAAAAGCTGAATATCGCTCGACGTGCTATATGTGACTTGCGCAAATCAACCACATCATCCATATCTATCGATTGCTTTCAATGTGTTCCAAGTTATTCCATGCGCCATGCTCCGTCCCAGAAGATTGTCTATCATGACTTCAACATCTTGTTTCTCTTCTCTCTTCTCTTTAATCTGTCAACACGCTTCTGGTGCATCTTTTCGGCCATTTTCTCGTATCGTTCTCTTTCCTCCTTGTTGGCGCGCTTTTCCTTGATTTTTGTAATATGGGCCTGTGATAATGATTAGTCTTGATGCAGATAGAGCTGGAATGGCGCTGACCTGTCTTGCAGCTTCTTTCTCCTCCTTCATCTCCTTTTCTTTAGCCTTGGTGGCTGCTATAGCCTCGTCATTTGCCTTTCTCTTTTCATATGAGGTATTTCCAGCCTTTGGTCGGAAAGCTTTCTTCACGGGATGCCATTGTTTGCCTAGGTATATCGAGTCAGAGACTTGATGCTCGGGAAAGAATGAAAAACTATCAATTGGAGCGCATGCGTACCATTCTTGCGCATTCCTTGGGGAAGGACGGTCGACTCAGCTGCAGGAGCGGGAGGGGCCACTTCTGTTGACATTTTGATAAAAGGAATATTGATCAAATATTGGGCAATGATGTGAATATTCGGATGTGAGGAAAGAGGTTGAGGGATTTAATTTTTGGACGTTATGGATCGTCGTACAGCAAATTAATTGTCGACAGGAATTCCAAATTCCAAGCATATAAATTACGATGCAGGAACTTTTTTTTCTCGTTAACCATACTGATAAGCGTGATTGATTGCTTATCAGTAGTATGGATGCATTAATACCTTACTAGGTGCTAGGTACTTATTACTAGGTACGAAGTATATAATTTATTATAGTAAAGTGACTAAAACTCATCTGGACTCATCTCTTTTTTCCCAAATTCTTTGAGCCATTTTTCTCATTATTACCAAGGTAGGTAGGTAGTAGGTAGGTAGTCAGTCCACCGGCATCTCTAATCAATTGATGATTCTTTCATTGTCCGTTATGATTCAATATTCAATGTTCTATCAATTCTATTAATAATAGTAGGTATATAAAACTATATAATCAACACAATCCTCTAGACTCGGTTCAAATTTCTTCCATCACATTGTCTTGTCCATCCTTTTCATCATCATGACTGCCAATACCTCCTGATCTTGCCTGATCTATTAAATCCCCAGCTTTCTTGAAGACGCAGGACGGGACCGACTGCCAACCTGGAAGAAAAAGTTGTTTCGATTGTGGAGACTTTCGCAGATTTTCAATCTGATAAAAAAAGAGCTCCATCCTCCCCCCCACCTCACTTGGAAGTTGACAGCCCTCCGAAGATGATACTACGATAATCGGACTTCACTTTCCTATCCACGACATTCAAACCTTCGAAATAACTCCACTAGTACCACTCTCGAGCCACTACACATATATCTATTACCTTGGCACACCCAGTCTACGCTGTCTCCCATGTTCTTCTAGCAATGTGGTTGGCTTGTTGGGGATCAATTCTTCCTTCTTCGTTTGTGGGTCGCACTCTGATTTTATAATTATTACGAGTTCACGGCAATAAATTACGAGAAAGTAAGAGAGACCTGGGTGTAACCCATTGTTGGAGAGAAAATCTTGCCCGCAGAAGACCGCAGATATCTGGCAAACAATCACGCAAATCAACTGTTTTCTTACCTTGCAACGGTTACTCATTTGCAGCGTGGAACAGCAACCTCATTATCCACACGGCACACAAGGAATCCCAAATCTGCCGTGTCGCCTCAACTTATAAAGAGCTATTCCAATCCCCTTCCTCCTTTCGGGACTCATTTCTCAATTGAAGTGGCAGAAAGTCGAACCCAAAGGATACACACATTGATACAGTCAAACAACAGTTTATAACTCTACTGGAAACATCTTCCTTCACTTTCGCATAAGAAAACTACGACCCAGCCATAATGGCAGCAACTATGACAGCGGAATTCACTCCCGACACACCACAGAAAGTAGTATCCAAGGGAAAAGAGGCTCTAATGAATTCTATTGAGGATTGCCTCTACGGTTCCGTATGTTACATCCACAAAACCTGAGCAAGACAATTATTAACAAATGAGCAGATTGCCGGAGTAGCTGGAAAATATATCGAATATCCTTTTGACACAGTGAAAGTTCGATTACAATCACAACCCTATCATCTTCCTTTACGTTATACTGGACCTCTTGATTGTTTTAAACAATCGATTCGCAACGATGGGTTCTTAGGATTATACAGGGGCATTAGTGCTCCACTCGTTGGTGCTGCTCTAGAGACTAGCAGTCTTTTTGTTTGGGAACAAGCAAGTAGGGAAGCACTTCTCAAGGCTGGAGTATACAAGAGAGATCAACCACTTCCTCTGGAGGCATTGTGGATGACTGGTGCACTATCCGGCGCTCTTACTTCTTTAATCCTCACTCCTATTGAATTGGTCAAATGCAAAATACAAGTCCCGGCGACCGCGCCAAATGGTTCAGCTCCCGTCGCTGCAAAAACGGTCTCATCAGTTATTCGCGAGGTTTGGCATCACCAAGGCATTCGTGGTTTTTGGAATGGGCAGCTAGGCACTTTGATCCGTGAAACGGGTGGATGCGCCGCGTGGTTCGGTAGCAAAGAGACAGTTACTTCTCTTTTCCGAAAGCTGAACGCTAAAAATAGCCCCCAAAGTTCTTCCTCCGTTCTATCTACTGAACTAGTACCTTTACCTTTCTGGCAACAAGCTCTCGCTGGTGCCTCAGCAGGCATGTCTTATAATTTTCTCTTCTTTCCCGCAGACACCATCAAATCTCGCATGCAAACCGCCTCTACTTCATCTACAGCACCACGTACTACATTCATCCAAGAAGGTGCTCTTCTTTGGAAAAAACATGGTCTGAAAGGCATGTATCGAGGTTGCGGTATCACAGTTATGCGATCGGCACCTAGCTCTGCATTCATATTCATGATTTATGATGGATTAAAGAGCCGTTTCCATCTTTCTTAGTACTTATTTCCTCATTTGATTACTTACGGCACGACGCGCATGTACATAGAATTGGAATCTTTGCCGCTTTCCACTTTCCATATCATATTATACCATACAAGGTGGCCGGATATATAAAAATCGAACTCGGGTCTCTTTTTTGGCTTTCGGTTATGAAAATGCTGAAAATTTGTCAGGGGCGGGCGTTAGAGAGGCGTTCAGGGATATTATATCATAGATCTGTATAGTCGTTCGGTTGACTCGGAAAGGAGGGGTAGGGGTAAGAGTGAGATAAGCAGAGCTCAAGTGAATTCCTGATTAGCATTGAAGGATTCACAGCTATCGTGTCGAGTTGGAAAAACTTGAAACTGGAGCAAGTCAGCTTTTGAGCGTTGCATTTTTTATATATATCATAGACGGGACTGGATGAGATAGCATGGAGTAATGTGGGATTATAGAATTTAGAAATTAGAACTTGTTTTGAGAATGAAGTGTTTTATTTTGTTTACATTGGGTTTTCTTTTGTCTGTTTGGGTTGGTTTGGTTTGGTGTTTTTGTGTGTTTTAGATTTGATGATATTGATATTATTTTTATTAGACTGTTTGATATGATATGATAATACCTAGTTAGATAGATGATAGGCATATTTATCCATATAAAGTACAAGTAGATGTCCACGTATATAAGATCTTACGAAATCAGATAGATGTATGTATCTACATAATAGAAAATACATATACTAGGTATGTATGTATATCTAGATATCTAGATAATTGTGCTATAATATAGATAGATAGATAGATGGATGGATGTATATGATAGGATGATAGGTGTGTGAATTATGATTGTTATGGGTAGCAGGTAGCTGGAGAGGATAGAGAGGAGAGGGAGGAGAGGGAGGAGAGAGAGGAGAGAGAGGAGAGAGAGGAGAGAGAGAGAGAGGAGAGAGAGGAGAGAGAGGAGAGAGAGGAGAGAGAGGAGAGAGAGGAGAGAGAGAATAGATACTCAAATAGGCAGCGGAAGGGCGTGAGATGACTTCCCTGATCAAGAGGTTACCTCCCTAGCACTTTTTGTATTCTTTACTAGACGAGGTGAAGTTTGATGTTATGAGATGAGATGAGATGAGATGTGTATTGGCATATTCGTTTATATGTATTCAGAAGCCTGGAGTATATAGTATGGTAGATATGATAGTATTGCAGTAGAAAATAAGTAATTCATTCATGATTAAAAGCTATGGTATATTATCTGAAGACAAGACAAGACAAGACAACGAATTCAACGCCGTGCGAAAATCTGCGTGGAATAATGGACTCGGGATTTGTGGTTCGTGAGATAGATGATCGATCCATCCTTCGAAAGATGAAGGATTTGGGATTTGCACACGCGTATGAATTTTTAACGCGTGCTTCGTGGATTTTCGTTATCAGCTTGCTTGTATCCCCTATTCTTCCTTCTCGTCAACATACTTTGTCCCCTTGCCCTTGGGACTCTTCTCGACTTCCTTGTCGCTGATGTTCCAGTCGTTGAGATAGCCCACGCCGGCGCTGAGATAGGTGGCGAAGCCGAGCCAGCCGACGTAGGGAGCGAGGGCCCAGGCGGCGACGGAGTCGACTTGTCCCCAGATGTAGGTCAGGTAGGAGACGGTTCCGGTGAGGGCGACGATGTCGATGGTAGCGAGGATGGGGCGTTTGAGAGAGAAGAAGAGGGGCATCCAGATTAGGTTGAGGCCGAGTCTGTGGGAGGGGAGTTAGTGGGAAACTTGTGTCGATAATGGGAAGTGGGAATTGTGAGGGTGGAACTTACTGAATGGTATAGAGTGTAGCACCTTGTTTGAAAAGGAGATGTTTTTCGGTAGAAGCGAGAGGAGATAATCCGGTAGAGTATGCGCGGTAGGCAGAGTATCCCATCAGACCGTAGAGGAGAGTCCAGGCTGGACCGAAGACATATGGAGGTGGACGGTAAGGGGGTTGTTTAAGTGCCATGTAGGTCTTTTGAGTTTCTTTTGCTGGGAGGGGTGTTAGTGATTTGTTTGAGGGGGTCACTCGCTTCACGTTGTATATTATCGAGTCGGGGATATATGAGGAAGAGGGGTTCATGATGTATGATCTCGTCGTAGATGAATAAACAATGAAGTGGCAGAAGATCAATACTTACGTCTAACTGCGAAACCGATAGCAGATCCAAGGGTAATTGGCAAGAGAACCGAAGCCGTTGGATTGGCAAATATGGCTGCGGGCAGCGTTAAGCTGGGAACAAAGGTCGTCATGATGGATGGATGAATTGATTGAATTGCTGATTGATGATGGAGCTGTGGATGGCGGCGTGAAAGGGAGTTTTGAGTCGAAAGTTGAGTGTACGTTGTCTTTATATCGTTTTCTGGTGGAGAAATCAGTTCATCCCCTCAATGACGTACTCCTCTTGTTATGCGAACGCAGTGAAAGTGTGTGGAGTGAGAAAGTTGAGAAACCTCGGTTTGTGTGGGAGGGGATGGGGAAGGGGAATTGATTTGATTGTATGGAGGAATTAATAGTTATTTACTGCTTCTTTTGTAAGGTAACCAAGATCTATCTACTTATGATGGTCTCTACTCATGTATGCTTCAATATCGAAGATTTGAAAGATACGATAATAATTACCTACTTGTATGATGATCTAGAGATCTCCCTACCTACCTGGCTCGAGCCTGGGTACCTAGGTATCTAACACCTACTGGTAGGCTGGTAGCTGTAAGATCTCGATATGGAGAACTGCATTTGGCTGATTTCGGGAATTGGATGATTTTGATTGGCTCTTTAATATACCTTGCTTTGAATCCTCGCTGCTCTCGGGAACCCATTTTAATGATTGGTTGGAATGTGAAGAGTTGTTGATGTGGAATGGGAGAAGTCCTATCATTGGCTAGAATATTAGTCATCAAACTACGACTACCTTTGACGAGCCAGCCAATAACAAGCATTCACTGTCGTATCATGTGCTTAGCCGAGACTCACTAAGCTCCATCGGTCACACTCATCGATCCACTTTCCGCAAGTGCGATGCTCACTAGTCTCCTTCCGAGTTGGACTGTGCTACCCACTCTCGAGCCACCCTAATCACTCTTTGGGTAAAGTTTCTGATCAACACCACTCCTCGTCCGGCTAGTCCTACTATAGGTAAGCATGTCAAGACGAAGCGCGAGAGCTCCCTTTGACCAGCCGCCCGAATCCAATCCTCCTCCGACGTTGCCCTTTATTAATCAACAACATCATCATCTATCCAATATTGATTTGGTAGAGGAGCTTTCTTCAAAACAACAGTTGATCATATCTGAATCTTGTTCGTCAGTCCTATTCTTCTATTCTTCTTACACACTTTGGTCTCCCTCAAAAAGAAAATGAAAAACACAACACCACCGTCGCACCTATCATCCTTTTTCTGCCCCCATTATTATCATTGCGATAAGATCTATAGCAATTGCTTTTCTTCCTTCTTCTTGATCGATTAATTCAAAGTCCATCTTGAAATCAAATCAAGTTGATAATATCATATCATATCACATCACATCAAATTCAATTCAGAGATCGCATATCCATCAACAACAACAAGTTGTCGTCGTTTTTTTTTTACCTTGCCATCTATAGGCACTGAACTTTTTTAATCCTCTTTTCTCTACTCTGCCTATTCTGCCTCTTGTCTCCCTGTTGCTATCGCATTTTTACTTCCCCAATTCAAACATACACTTGTTGATTCTATTACATTTTTGAACAATCCTCTAACGGGCAATCATGTTATCAAACAGCAGTAGCTTCGTTGTCAACACCTCCTCCCGACAATCACCAGGTGTCACTTGACAATCGCAATCGACAAGAACCGATTACCTACATCGATTTCGTCAAAAGGGTCTCTAATAACGAAACTGTCCTACCAGAACGTCCGACTGGTCCATTACCTGAATATCGAAAGAAAGGCAAAGGCGGAGTCATTTTGGACGGCAGCAATTACATCATGGACGGCTACGGAAGTTACAGCAGAGAGCCACCACTCGCTCGCTCACCAACTGAAAGAACAAATTGGGCTGGACGTGATGATGGCTTCAGAAGTGTTAAGATTGAACGCGACGATGGCTTTAGAGGTACCAGACCCGACCGCGACCGTGAATCATTTCACCGTGGTAGATCTCCTGGTATGTCGCATTTTTTTTCTTCTTATCTCTATGATTTCACCTTCCAATGCTTCGTTATTACGATGTATCTGTTCTAGAACGATACCTTCATAAGTTGATATCCGTATTGTATTTGCTCTCATGCTTACATAGTTGTTCTTTTAGTCGGAGGTGATAGGCAACGTCGAAACACACGCGACCGCGACCGCTCCAGATCGCCTGTAGATCGTTATGAACCTGTTGGTAGAGCCAGAGAGAGAGAACACGATTACAGATCATCGAGGGACCGCGAGGACCGAAGACGAGTTGCGTCACCGGCCCCAGCCAATATTGATCGATGGGTACCTGGTCAAGATTCAGGCCCCCCTCCTCCAATTACTGTCAATCCACTTGCGGATCCAGTCATCCTACCTTTTCAGGTTGGGTTTTCATACTATGGAGAATGGTGGCGTACAAACGAAAAGATCAAGGAGGAAAAGGAGCGTGTTAGGTGTCACAAGCGCGGTGAAATTTTCAGACCTCGCGAAGAAGACCGCGATACTGAAAAAGCTCGCATCCAAGTTGCTTATGACGCGTACAAAGAAGAGCTCCAAGCCAGGATGGCACGTACATTTGTGCAGGAGCACAAAGGTGAACAATGGTTCATGGAAAGATATGTACCTGAGATGCGAGACGCTTTACGCCTACAAGTCAACGAGTTCCGCCGCGGCAACTACAGTCAATGGGAGCAAGACCTCGAATCCGGAACTTTTGATGAGTACTCCTTAGAAGGCATTCCAAAGAGCGAAAGTAACGGAACGGGTGGAGTTATCGAGAAAGAAGAGGGAGAAACAACCGCGGCCAACGAAGTTCTTGGTGTTGGTGACCTGGTTCCCTCTAGAGGCGGTGATATCCGAGACGAAAACGCTTTCCAGCCTACGTTGCTCATCAAGACGATTGCGCCACATGTTAGTCGTTCAAATCTCGAATCTTTTTGCAAGGAGCATTTGGGCGAGGATGAAGGCGGCTTCAAGTGGCTTAGTTTGAGCGATCCCAACCCTAGCAAACGTTACCATAGAATTGGCTGGGTTATGCTTCACCCTGCACCTGACTCGGTTCCGGTTCTCGATCGACCTGAAATCAAAGATGATGAGGAGGGTGATGTCCCTGCTGAACCAGCAGTTCCGCTCACTACTGCCCAAAAGGCACTTGAGGCTATCAATGGAAAAACTGTCAAGGATGAAGTCAGGGGAGATTTCACATGCCATGTTGGTGTCCATGTACCACCCAACCTCCCACGTAAGAAAGCACTTTGGGATCTGTTCTCGGCCCCCGAACGTATCGAAAAAGATCTTGATTTAGCCACCCGCCTCGTCAGCAAATTCGAAGAAGATTTCGGTTCAGACTTCAATGCTGTCTTGAAGATTGAGGAGAAAGTAGACGATTTAAAGAATCAAGGCCGTCTTCAACCACCAGTTACAGCCCCCACTCCAAAGAAAAGCAAGACATCTAAGAATGGTCTTGGTCTTGACGAAGCAATGGATGAAGGTGAAGATTTCGAGGAGATGGAAGAAGGAGAGGAAGAAGAGGAAGGCGCTTTCGATTTCGAGGATGTTGACGACGATGAACTTCTCGTCAAGAAGAAGCAGCTTGATCTCATGGTTGAGTATCTAAGACGTGTCTTCAACTTTTGTTTCTTCTGCGTATTCGAGAGTGACTCAATTCATGAACTTACTCGAAAGTGCCCTGGAGGACATCTTAGACGACCACGTAATACTCTTACCACATCGGCTAAAGCAGCTGCTCGCGCTAGTGCATTGGGAGATGTATTCCCTGGAAAGGTTAAGGTTGAGGACAAGATGGATATGGACCCCTCCTCTCCGGATGGTGAACGCAAAATCAATCCACGAAACAATATTTCCAAAGCAGAACAACAACTTCAGCGCGCTTTCAATTGGGTCAGAACGTTTGAGGATAAGATTATGCAAATTCTGGATCCAGATAATGTGGATGTGCGAAAATTGGGTGGAAAGCCAACTGAAGATGCTCTGAAGGAAGAGTTGGTCAAATTCGTGAAGCAAGAAGATGACCACAAATTCAGATGCAGAGTTCCAGAATGTACCAAATTGTTCAAGGAAGAGCACTTTTGGAAGAAGCATGTCGAAAAGAGACATCCTGAGTGGCTAGAAAGCATTAAGTCTGATGTAAGTTATTATTTCTACCCTTTCCCAACGACCTAAGCTAACCTATGTAGTTTGATCTTGTCAACACCTATGTTCTCGATCCTGCACACATTGCTCCATCGAGATCAGATGCCAACAGCAACGGGCATTTCCCTCCAGCCAATGGCCATATGCCAGCGGGTACTCCACGAGGTTTCAATCTTCAAAACTTTGGAATGAATGGAATCAATCCTATGACAGGTTTCACACCTTCTACCGGTTTCCCACCATTCCTTGCCGGACATGCTGTCCAATCACCTATGGGTTGGGTTAGTGGCTCTGATAACCGTGGCCCTGGTCCCATCAGAAGAGGTGCTGGTCGATATCAAACAAATAATCGAACTGGCCCTTATGATCGTCGACCCAATCAGAATCATCAGAACCGTGGGGATCCCAATGCTGGTAGATTAAGCCCTCTCACTGGTGGCGGTCGTGGAGGAGCACACCGTTTCGTAGGAACCAATGCCAATAACCGATGGGGTGACGGTGTAGCGCCGGGTGGTACAACTACCGGACCTCGTGAAGCAACAGCCGGTAGAAGCTTAAAATCTTATGAAGATCTCGACGCTGTTGCTGGAGCTGGATCCGGAGAGTTGAATTATTAAATTCGAGGAATGGAATTGGGGTGGTTTAAAGTGATTGAAAGAAAATTGATATCTAGTGCTCATGGTAAATGATGGCCATGAAGAATCTGACTGGGGGCAACGGAGAAAATATGGTAATGGAAAGTAGCAGTGTGCGTTTGCTTTTTCAAACTTTCCTTTTGGCGTTAAAACACATCTTGTGCAGGAAATAGCTGCTTTGCACTTTTCAAAGCTTTCATTCTTCAATTGAGAGCCTTTTTTTGCTGGTTACCTTCTTTGATGTACACTAAATTACGGACATGGACTCTTTCGTATGCTTGTATTTTTCAAAATTAATGAGATGAATTTGCGACAGTATAGATGATGACTACTTCTTGACGCGTTTTCGGAAATCGTATTAATCATTCTTTTCAATTGAGATGAATCAGGAAGACTTGTGATTGATATGTATCTGAGCTTTGGGAGTGAAGATCATTTGGAAGTTGATATTGATTTTACCCCCAACTCACAAGATGAGTAGGATGATCAAAGCCATATGAGGTTACTGTACATCCGCACGATCTTAATATTAATATTTACTGATTAGGATTGGACTGGACTGGACTGGATAATCCAATTTGCGGCACAGCACAGTACCTAGTTGATATCAACCAACGGCTGTGAGTGATGGGTGTAGGGAGGGAGGTAGGAAGGAGGAAGGAGGAAGGAGGAAAGGAGGAGAGGGAGAAAGGGAGAGGAGAGGTAGGGTTTCATATGTGTACTTAAGATAGATGTATATGTATATATATGTGTGTGTGTGTGTGTATACAGAGAGAGAATAGGAAGTCTTTGGTATATATATGTGTATATAGAGAGAGCATAGGAAGTCTTTGGTATATATGTGTATATATAGAGATACATCGTAGAGAGTAGAGTCTTTGATGATTCTCTTCCCTTTGAATTGAAGCTGTATAGAATCTCTGTATTCTTCGTGATTGTATATGTATTTGTTTGCATTCGTGTTGTATTGAACTGTATTTAACGCATAACATGCAATATCGATAACATTACCTTCACTCGTTCACACACACAACACGTGATATCAACCAACTGTCAACAACCCAATTGGCTCTAGCGTGTGTCAAAATGGCCCAAATTCTCAGGTTCTTGATCGTTTTCCCCCCTCGCGAGTGACACGAAAAATGGCACACGTGTCCTTTTAACCTCAATTCACGTCAATTACCACAACTTCAAAATTAATTATTAAATCACAACATAATGGTATCAACTCGCCGCGATCGCTATGAGGATAAAACGTATCCCCAACAGCATAATAGAACCCCTGTTAAAGCTAAAACCCAGGCTATGCTTGATGGAATAGCTGATGGAATTGTCACTACTTTCAAAGCTCGAGTATTCAGGGCCTACAATGTCGCACCTCGCACCGGATATCGACATTGGCATGATCGCGATCCAAGGCGTCTACATGATTCTACAGTACGTAAAGAGACTAGAGGAGCAAAAAAAACCCTTACTCCTCGCGATATACGTGCTATGGAGATCATGATCCAAACGGAGGGTTTTGAGGCTAGATCCCTCAATTGGAAGCAATTGGGAGAGGCATGTGGATTAGACCAATCCGGAAGGACTATTGCACGAGCTATGGGATCTATGGGATATCGAAAATGTATAGCTTGTTGCAAGGGATGGGTTACACAGAGAACAGCTGCCGCTAGACTCCAATTTGCCCGCGATATGCTAGCTAAATACCCTAATCCGGAGGATTGGAGAAGAGTTAGGTTCTCTGATGAGTGTCATTGGGGTTTCGGGCCTGAGGGAAAGTATAGGATCATTAGAAAGCTAGGCCAGAGGCTCTGTCCTGAGTGTATTCAGCTCAGAGGGGTAGAAAAGGAGGAACACCGCAATAAGCAACACTGCTGGGCGGCAGTGGGCTACAACTTTAAGAGCAATCTTATATATTACGATGTTCCTGGGAACCGGAATGGCAAGTTGTCCCATAAGGTTTATGTCGATACTATATTGGATGGGGAGGTAAAGCGATGGTTAGCTGTATCGAAGGATTTCGTACTCGAGGAAGATGGTGATTCAGGACACGGCTATGGGGGCAAGAAGGACAATATAGTGAAGAAATGGAAGAGAGATCATAGTTTAGAAACCTATCAAAACTGTCATGATAGTCCTGATCTCTCAATCATCGAAAATATCTGGCAAATCCCAAAACAAGTCGTTCGGAGGCATGCCCATTGGGACGATACAACCATGCGGGAGCTTATAAATGAGGGTTGGGAGCAAGTTACTATTGAACATATCAATAAACTAGTAGATACTATGCCTCAGAGGCTTAGGGATGTTATTAAAATGAAAGGACAGCTCACTGGGTGGTGAAAAGGTGGTCAAAAGGGTGGTTTTTAGAGTGGTTTCCCCCTCGAAACAACTCACTTTCAGAGGGAATTGAACCACAACACTACCTTATATCAATTATATAATTATATCACTCAAAACAGTACCCTATATAGCATCGATATTAATTTTTTTATCTTATACTGAATCTTAAAGCTCTGAATATAGCGAATTTAAAAGTCTCTGTCAATGGAAGCGAGTCGATCTTCCGTAATGAATTATTCTACGAATATTGCACTTAGAATCATAAAACTTATATAGAATTAATCTCTGATATCGAATTAATAAAACTACCATATTATTCTTATTATAAATATAAAAAGTGGTGGTGTTGAATCAATTGAAAGAGAGGTGTTGTTCCATTGAATGAGAATTACGAATTTGTGTGTGCCATTTTTCCTGTCACCCGCGAGCCCCCCTGAAACTCTACTTATACACCGCCGCGTTATCTCCCTATACAGACGCCCCACATTCAAAATCAACCAAGAGGACTTTGCGAAATTCGAATTTGAACACTTGCCAGCAAATCCACTCTTTCACCCAAATAATACCAATACCAGCATTGCTGAGATCGCGCAAAGGGAACATCTTTTGCCATAGCTCAACGACGTCGACGACTGCAACTTATTCTCTTCCCTCATTCTCTGCCATTGCCATTCCCATTTACTTCGAGAAAAGGATAATTCAAGATGACTCGCGGAGAGGTAAATAAACAAATCAATTCTTATTTGAACAACGCACTACACTACCTCCCTCACCAATTACTTGACTACTTCCCTGGAGTCGTGTATCTCTTCTCTCTTTCTTGATTCAATGTATTCGCGTCGCAGTGTTATGATTGGTAATTGACAAGTCATTGATTATAGATTCTTCACCTTCATATCGGTCAAGCTGGTACTCAGCTTGGTAACAGTGCTTGGGAGTTGTAAGTTGATTGGATACCTCGAGTATACTCGATTGTATGCTAATTCCCTGCTTTCCCAGATATCTTCTTGAGCATGGTCTCTTACAAGATGGTCGTCCTGATCCCGAGGCAAAGGCCGTCCACGAATCTGGTGAACTCGATACAGTCTTCACTGAAACTGGCAATGGTAAATACGTACCTCGATCCATCTTTGTCGATCTCGACCCATCTCCAATCGACGAAATCCGAACTGGTGATTACAGATCCCTCTTCCATCCCGAACTTTTGATCAGTGGAAAGGAGGATGCTGCCAACAACTACGCTCGTGGTCACTACACAATTGGAAAGGAGATCTTGGATGGTACTTTAGACAAGATTCGTCGCGTTCTGGTAAGGAAATGTTTCATGTGTTTTTTGACGGGCGTTACTAATTTTTCTACCCCCAGGATAACTGCTCTTCCCTCCAAGGTTTCTTGATCTTCCACTCTTTCGGTGGTGGAACCGGTTCTGGTTTCGGATCTCTCTTGCTTGAGCGTCTCTCCACCGATTACGGCAAGAAATCCAAGCTCGAATTCGCAGTTTACCCAGCTCCAAGAGTTTCTACCGCTGTTGTTGAGCCATATAACGCTGTTCTCAGCACCCACAGCACTATCGAAAACTCCGACTGTACCTTCTTGGTCGATAACGAGGCTGTCTACGATATCTGCCGTCGCAACTTGGACATTCCTCGTCCAGGTTTCGAGCATCTCAACAGATTGATTGCTCAAGTTGTCAGCTCCATCACCTCGTCACTCCGTTTCGATGGTGCTTTGAACGTCGATCTCAATGAGTTCCAAACTAACTTGGTTCCTTACCCAAGAATTCATTACCCATTGATCAGTTACGCTCCAGTCATTTCTGCTGCTAGAAGTTCCCACGAGAGCTTCAAGACTCAAGAATTGACCCTCCAGTAAGTTTCCCCACTTTGGTATTGATATCTCATACTAACTTCATGTAGATGTTTCGAGCCAAACAACCAAATGGTTGTCTGCGATCCCCGCAATGGAAAATATATGGCTGTTGCCCTTCTCTACCGTGGTGATGTCGTTCCCCGTGACTGCAACGCCGCTGTCGCTTCCCTCAAGGCTAAGACATCCTTCAACCTCGTCGAATGGTGTCCAACTGGTTTCAAGCTCGGCATCAACTACCAAAAGCCAATGTCCGTCCCATCTTCCGCACCAAACGATGGTGCCCTCGCCTCAGTCGATCGTTCCGTCAGTATGTTGTCCAACACCACCGCTATTGCCGAGGCCTGGTCAAGATTGGACCACAAGTTCGATCTTATGTACAGCAAGCGTGCTTTCGTGCATTGGTACGTTGGTGAGGGTATGGAGGAAGGAGAGTTCAGTGAAGCAAGAGAAGATTTGGCAGCATTGGAGAAGGATTACGAAGAGGTTGCTGCTGACAGCTTCGAGGCTGAAGAGGGTGAGGCTGAGTATTAAGTTATTCAGTCCGTATATGACATTTTGAGCCTTGCGTCATTTCGATCCATATGGGGTGGTTTGTGTTCTGCGAATATCCGAAAATGAGCGTCTGATTATTCGGTGAGGTTGGGAAATGAGAGAGATGAGATGGGATGAGATATTTTAGTTTGCTAGATGATATTATGAATAGTCAATATGCAATATAAATATAAATCTCGATGACAGAAGTGATTTTAAAAGTTGTTCAGTGTACTGTGCGGGAACTTCAAATCGCTCTTGATTAAACAATGCTTGGGCTCTAAATACTACTAGGTATGTGTTTTTGTGGTATTAAGTATTGCCCTATCTATCGTTTATCGATACATCTAGGTACATAGGTATCCTATTCAAGACATCAATCACTCGCTTATTATAGAGACTAGACGAGAGTAGGTCATTGTTCTGTTTCTTTTCTTTTTGTTTTTATATCTCAATTTGAACTTTGAACTTTGAACTTTGAACCTTTGAACCTTTGAATCTTGAATGGATAATAGTTGGTTTGTGTTCAGACTGTGGAGGTGGGAGAGATGGATTTGCTCAATTTCGCTTGTGTCCCGTTTTCAGTTGATGATACCTACCTAGGCAAAATCGATTGTAAAATATGTTCTGATAGGATGGGATGATAAACGCATTGGGACTATTCGCTCTAATTGGATTTTGTTATGCAGGAGGGAATGAGAGATGATATAAGTAGTTTTTTTGAGCTCTTGCACTAGTGTATCTACTTCGGATGAACTGATTGGATTGGTTTAGGCTTGAGGTGTTTGCTCAATGTAACTTACTCTCTATTGTATTTCTCTCTTTCTGGTATAATTATCTTGCGGAAGTAGCTTGTGCTATTCAAGTTATACTTCACGAACCACCATTACACATTGTAAGATTACCTTCGCTTTCGCGTTTTCCTTCGTTAGTAAAGTAAGTATTGATATCTGAAAAAGCAAAAGTTTTACTCGCTTAGCTAACCTTATCAATTGACGAGCAAGCTGTTGCATCATAGCTGCACGGTTATTTTTATTATTCTTTTTGTTCCCGTTGCTGACAATGGTATTGTTGGTGGGTTTCATTATGTGCTGAGATTGATGTTGTCAAGTATATCGTGATTTTCTATTTTCACTTTATTCAAGTTGTAGTGTTTTTGGAAATGATGATGATGTATCTGAATATGTTAATATCTACAGATATGGTTGTAGAGGTCATGACTAGTGATGAGTGCTACGCGACAAATATACCATGGTTACAAACAGTGGGATGCTGAATCAAAGAGAATTGGGCTGCCGATGCACATAGCACCAAGAATCAAGCTGGATGTCTATCACACAAGCAGTTGCGCGGGCTTCGAATCCAACTTTTCAAGATAGTCTAGCTACTCTCGTTCCGATATGAACTGGTGGAGGATACGATATGGACAAATGTCATTAGTTTGGTGTATCGGAAGATGTATCATTCATGCAACTCATGGACCTGAGAATTTAGAAAGAGTCCGCGAGATGGGAATGTATTCACACGAGATCTAGATACTCGCGTGTTTTTTGCTCTTTACTTGAGTTAATTCATAACTCTTTGGAGATTGTACTTACCAATCTAGCTAGGATACTTCTCCACCTCACAATTATGGGCATCTGCATCGGAAGTGGGATTACGGTATAGAATAGAAGTATCTTTCCTAGATTTTGGAAATAAATTAATAGCTCGGCCCCGGGACAAACTTCATTAATATGTATTCTGTACTGCGCTACTCGGCTCTCGATGGCTCATCCCTTTACTTGGGAATATTGGATTACTTAAATCATCTAAATCATCTAAATCATCTAAATTATAAGAATTATAAGAATTATAAGAATTATAAGAATTATAAGAATTATAAGAATTATAAGAATTATAAGAATTATAAGAATTATAAGAATTATAAGAATTATAAGAATTATAAGAATTATAAGAATTATAAGAATTATAAATATTAGGCGCTCCGAAACACTGGCGAGCTAGCTCGCCCCGAAATGCGGATGGGACGAGGAGGGAAGTTGTGGGGTGTGTTGAGAGGGGGTTTGGGGTTGATTTGTTGGAGGAGAAAGTTGCTTGGTAGGGGCATTGTTGCTGTGTTTTCTTTTGTTTAGAATGATATGGGGTTACATTATGGAGCGTTTTTGTAACTTCTTTAGAGTACTTTCATGTTTGGGGAGAGATGATATGATTGCTTTGAGGTTAGGAGGGTTGTGATGGGATAATGACTTGGATTATGTTCTGTTGAAATGGACAGCTTATGATCAGATTTTTTGTGGAACTTGACGATTTTCAAGTGTCATCTAGTATGAATGATTAGAGCGGCCCGAATCACCCAAATTGCGCAGACCAATTTTTCATCATCGAGTCCTCGTATTTTCCAAAGCTCTTCTTGTTCTTTTCCCGTCTTATTTCAGAAGCGAGGTCGTGCTGCAGACCCTTGAAGCCCCTTCTTGGCCTTTCACCACTTTCGGTAATCTTGCTATAACATGCTCAAAAAAGCTCGTAATAGCTCATGTTCAATTTTGGCTTTTACTTTTTATTGAAGTGCTCATATGCTAGTTGGGTATCATGTGCGAAATAGAAGTATAGGACTTTAAAGGAATATATAATCTCGTAGATGATACATAAAGATTCAAAGAACCAACGTAAAGATACACAAAATACTCAACATACCCAACCATGAGCGACACCTCCGAGTTAGCAAAAGGCTACACCCTCGTCAACGATACCCAATACAAAGCCGGACAGTATCTCCTCGAAAAACTCGCTCTCACCCATACCCCCAACATCCAAATCCTCGACATCGGCTGCGGGCCCGGCAATCTCACCGCGTACATTTCCTCACTTTTCCCAGACGGAAAAGTAATCGGTATCGATCCCAGTTCTTCTCGTATCGCGCTCGCTCTCTCGAGTTATGGAGATCATGCCAATCTTGAATTTTATGAAGGCATCGCGGAGGATCTTGCACGATTTGGGGATGAGAGGTTTGATGTGGTGTTTATGAATAGTACGTTTCATTGGGTTGGGGATCAGGAGGGGGCGTTGAGGGAATGTTTCAGGGTGATGAAAAAAGGAGGAAAGCTTGGGATTTCGGGGGGATCGGGGGATTTCGAGGCGCTGCATGAGAGGATTAAGAGGGAGGTTTTGGGGAGAGAACCGTATGGGGGGTTTGTGGAGAAGGAGAGTGGACCGAGATTTTTGGGAAAGAGGGAGATGGGGGAGATGCTAGGGAAGGCGGGGTTTGAGAGCTGGGAAATAGGGACGAATAGGATTGTGAAGGTGGCGAGGGATGGGGTGGAGATGGTGAGGTGGTTGGATGTTAGTTCGTCGGGGAAGACTTATGGGGGGATTCCGGAGAGGTTGAGGGAGAGTGCGAGGAGGGAGATGGTGAGGGAGTGGGAGGGGTATAGGGGAGAGGAGGGGATTAGGATGGAGATTGAGTTGTTGGTTACGGTTGCTATTAAGGGGGGAGTTGGGAACTGAGGTGTTGATGGATTATGGGGAAATTTTGTCGCTTCTTGATTATGAGATTATAGGATGTTCAGATGTATGTTGGTTATATTCTAGAAACTTGAATATGATGTGATCATTACTAGGTAGCGATTACACGAGTATAGGTCTTCTACCATTCATTTCAGTATCAGAGACCTAAGAAATATACTCGCGGATCCGACACAACCAAAAAATCACCCCATCAAGTAATTTCTACCACTTAAACAGAACAAAACTCGTAACCTTCAACTTCGCAGGAAAGAACAGTCCCCAACTTGAAAACTCTGCATACTTCCTCGCAAGCAGGTCTTTTTCGCACCATGCAATATATCCCATGTACCAACTTCCTTGCGTGGATTCGGTACTTACAGGGAATAGAGGGATTTGGAGCATATAATCTTGAACCTGCAGATAATCATAGATATTGTAATACTTTTTTGAAAATATAGTGATAGCCAAGTCTTCAGCAATGCAATATAGATGCTATTAACCAGAGGAGCTGAGCTGCAGGTGAGCACGCCCAGATGTTGGTAATTAGATCAAATGTGCTCATATGGAAGAGGGGGTTTTAGTACCGGGGGGTAGTGTGGAGATGGATGATGCATAGGAAGAAATGTTGATATAAATGGGGTTTGTGAATGCGGTTTCTTGGTGCTAGGTGTTATATCGTCGAGTTGAATATTTGGAATAGATATTCTAGATAACTCTATATTTCAGTGTACTATAAAGGCAAGCTTAGCATCACATCATACCATGCAACAAAGAGTTTCCATTCTCGGCGCTGGACCCGCCGGCCTCGCACTCGCAGCCGATCTCTCGCGCCACGGCACAAATGTCCTGATTTATTCACACCCCTCGCATACCTCCCACTCTTCTTCTATCCTCTGCAATGGACATCTCGAACTCTATTCTCCCACTTCCATTGATTCTGCAAATCCAAAACTCACCTACGATATCCAAGATGCGGTTTCCTTTTCAAAATTCCTGATTCTGACTGTTCCGTCTACAGGACAGGAAACCATCATGCGTGAATTGCGAATTTTTGATTTGGAGACTCATACTATTATTGCTATACCGGGAAATTTGTTCTCGCTTGTTTTTCGGGAGATGCTAGGCGATATGAAGGTGAAGTGTGTGCTGGAGACGAATTTATCGCCGTATTCGTGTAGGATGAGTGAGGGGAAGTTGTCTGTATCGGGGAGGAAGAGTCGATTTTCTATTGCAGCGTTGGGGAGGATTGACGGGGGGTTGAGGGAGGAGGTTAGGGGGATTTTTCCGATGGAGTTGTGTTGGTGTGAGAATGTGATGGAGGTTTGCTTGGGGAATATTAATGGGGTGTTTCATCCGGTTATGATGTTGATGAATGCTGGTCGGTGAGTCTGCTGTTCCCATTTAATGTACTTGTGAACAGTAGGGATGAGCACTGAAAATATCCAGCATCGAAAGTCCAGGATCTTTTTTCCTTTATAAAGAAGGACTTACTCGCTCGGTATCAAATGTTATTCAAGCAATCGATGCTGTGCGTCTTCAAATCGGGAGCGAGTTGGGATTTAAACTCGATTCCGTCCTGGATGTTTCGAATAAATGTTATGATCAACATTTCTTAGACTTAGTTGAGCTAGCGAGGAAATCGGAGCCGCATAATGGATTGCAAGCGCCGAATGAGATGGAGAATAGGTTCATTGCGGAGGATGTGCCGGATTTGCTGGTGCCGTGGTTGGTATTGGCGGAGGGGCTGGGGGTAAGGGCGGAGAAGGTTAGAGCGGTGGTGGAGTTGGCGGGGATGGCGGTAGGGAGGGATTATTTTGAGGATGGGAGAGGGTTGAGGAAGTTGGGGTTGTTGGGTTTGGGGAGGGGAGAGTTGGTGAAGAGGTTTGGGAGGGTTGGATGATGGGGTTTATGATATGCATATGGTAATTGTGATATATACACACTTGTATGTTGATGGATTCAACGAGATGGCAGCAACTTGACTGTTATGGATTTCCTGATACAAAGAGAAAATAAGAGATGGATATACTATTGCGCGATTGTGAGATGTATTGATCCCTATCAAATACTGTGAATAATTTAATTTCTGGATGTCACTTGACTGTTGTCTTTTCAGAAAGTATATTTTGGGTATTTCACATACTCTCAATTTTGATAAAATCAGAGAAAAACGTTCCGTGCAATATCAGAGTAATAGTTTCCTAGGTGTATTGGAAGGGGGTTGTCACTTCGGCATTATGAGTATGCGTGAGTGAATATATATTGTCAGATTGTGCACGTTTCTCCAACAATCACTAAATCATTCATGGTTCAGTGGTACCCCGACCTGATCGAGTTCACTTGATCATAACTCTCGGTCGTCTAGTTGGTTTATGACGTCAGACTGTAATTGCTCACGTGATCTGGATGTCGCGTGTTCGACTCACGCCTGAGAGACTTTCCTTTTGGCATTTTTTTTTTGATTTTTGGATTGATCTTTGATGAGGATGTTGGGATACTTTTCGTTTTGGAGGAGATGGGATGGGTCGGGCGGTTGGTGGTGGGGTATTTTGGCTTCACGTGTTGATAAGTGATAAGATAATGGATGTTGCAGATATGATAGGTTAACCTTATGTAATACACAACATACCTACATATCTATCGTACAAGTAGGTAATCTAAGAAATCTGTTTTGATTTAATTGTATATCAACTATCATATCAACTATATCAATATCATGCCTCTCAAGCTAGCTATATATCCTCTAACGCTAGCAATATCTTCAGACGCTAGTAATATCTTGCTGTCTATGTTCAAGAGCTAAATAAATTACGAGGTTGACTCTGCTCTGCTAGCGCATTATGACATTAAAATGATTCCACATTCTCCAAAAGAGGTTGGGCCATTGTAGATCATCCGACCTTCACCCGTGTATGAGTCGCACTCGCACTCATTTCACCGGCGCGGGGAAATTTAAATAATTTTTTTGTTTCCTCTTTCATCTCTAACCCCGCCATTCCCTCAAAATTATATATCGAAAATTCGAACAATTCTCGAGTTGTGCTTCATCGCACAACAGGCAGAGACAGGATGGAATACCTTAAATTGCCTGGAGATTCTTGCTTCACTCCAGCTGAGGCTACAAAGCTCGCGGCGAGAATCAATGATGTTCATCAAGTGAAGGTAGAACTTACGGGTGTTTGGATTCATTATACACATTTGAGACACTCGGATCCAGAAACTGAAGCCAAGATCAAGCAACTACTTCCAGTCTCAGGAGTGGATTTGGAGGCTAAATTGGGAAGCAAGATCTATTGTAAGTCGTCACTTATTCATTGTCCGAGATAATTCTGGGCATTGAAAAGTGGTTATTGAGGATTTCAATGCGCGCACGCCATGGCCTCTCGTCATTTTCTACATACTGCAGTGCAGTGTAAGCAAACACTAACCCTCCAATCTACTAGATGTTACTCCAAGAAATCTTTCTCCATGGAGTTCCAAAGCTACAAACATCGCACATGTCTGCGGTCTCGAATCCCAAGTTCGCAGAATTGAAAGAGGTCGGGCTATTTTGATAAAATATGCGGAGCCATCTGAGGCAGAGGTGAGCATCAGTGATTTCATCTTAGTACATGTTCCCTTGTGTGGAGACTTATTTGGAGATTCAATTCTATCTGGATGCTCAAACCAATTACTGACTTCCTAATTCTCAAGAGGGAGGATTTGCCATTCAAAGATATCCTTTACGATCGCATGACCGAGAACATTAGTGCTGAGGAGCCAGATGTGCACAAAATTTTCGAAGAAGGGGAGCCAATTCCCTTGGAGGTTGTTGATCTTTGGGTAGAGGGTTCAACACCTATCGAAGTCTTGAAAGCGTACAACGTGAAGCGTGGTCTCGCTCTAGATACCCCAGAAATGGAATACCTTGTTGAAAAATACACCCAACACGGCAGATCACCTACCGATGTCGAATTGTTTATGTTTGCGCAAGTCAACTCTGAGCATTGTAGACATAAGCAATTCAATGCGAACTGGACAATCGATGGCATGGGTATGGATATGAGTTTATTTGGGATGATTCGAAACACCCACAAGAAAAATCCAGATTTCACCGTATCAGCTTATAGCGACAATGCTGCCGTTTTACAAGGAGAGATAGCCAGTCACTGGGCCCCCGAATACTCAACTGGTAGTTGGAAGCAAACCCCTGAGGTTGTGCATATCCTAGCGAAGGTGGAGACTCATAACCATCCCACAGCAATCTCACCTTTCCCAGGAGCAGCGACCGGTTCAGGAGGAGAAATTAGAGATGAAGGTGCCGTGGGTAGAGGATCCAGCCCCAAAGCTGGTCTTTGTGGATTCTGGGTTTCAGATCTCTTGATTCCAGGACATAAGCAACCATGGGAAATGGATGTTGGCAAGCCAGCACACTATGCCAGTAGTTTGGACATTATGTTGGAGGCACCAATTGGTAGTGCCAGATTCAACAACGAGTTTGGTAGACCATGTCTTGCTGGAACCTTCCGTACTCTCCTTACAGATGCAGATGCCTCAACGGACGAGTTTCGTGGATACCACAAGCCTATCATGATCGCTGGTGGACTCGGTACTGTTAGACCAGAACACGCCATCAAGAATGGCAATGACGTCAAACCCGAAGCTCATGTAATTGTTCTTGGTGGCCCAGCAATGTTGATTGGTCTTGGTGGAGGTGCAGCTTCAAGTAACACATCTGCTGGAGAAAGCTCAGTTGAGCTTGACTTTGACAGTGTTCAGCGAGGAAATCCAGAAATGGAAAGAAGAGCTCAGATGGTTATTGATCATTGCAGAGCCTTGAAGGATGAGAATCCTATTGCATTCATCCATGATGTAGGAGCAGGTGGATTATCCAACGCTTTGCCGGAGCTTGTTAAGGATGCCGGATATGGTGGCAAATTCGAGCTTAGAAATGTCGAGAGTGCGGATGGCAGTATGAGTCCTTTACAAATCTGGTGCTGCGAAGCTCAAGAACGTTACGTCTTGATTGTCAACAAGGAAGACCTTGGTAGATTCACAAGCATCGCCAGTAAGTTACGTCTTCAAACGTGATAAATCTTATACTAATCATTTACAGAACGTGAACGATGTGGCTTCTCCAATGTCGGAACCGTCGTTCCCAAGGATCAAGATGGAGTTGCCAAAATTGTAGTAACTGATCGAGATTCTACAGAGCACCCTACACCCATCGATCTCCCTATGTCTACTTTGTTCCCCAAGGACAGGAAATTGGACAGAATCGTGCAGTCTAGGAAACCACAACTTCTCCCATTCAATGCAGAGAAATCCCTCAAAGAAGCGTACCCCCACATTCCCGATCATGATCTCTTAAGAATGGCTATCGAGCGTGTCTTTTCCCTTCCATCTGTTGGCTCCAAATCTTTCCTCATCACTATTGGTGATCGTTCCGTTGGAGGTTTGACCGTTCGCGACCAAATGGTCGGACCATGGCAAACTCCTGTCGCAGACGTAGCTGTCACAGCTAGTGCTCTTAACATTGGTGGCAAACTGAAGACTGGTGAGGCTATGGCTATGGGTGAAAAGCCTACGTTGGCTTTGATTTCGGGTGCAGCTTCGGCTAGAATGGCTGTTGCCGAAAGTTTAATGAACATTGGTGCAGCACATCTTCTCGGCAACTTGCCTCGTATCCGTTTATCTGCAAACTGGATGGCCGCAGTCAACCAGCCTGGTGAAGGTGCAGCTTTGTATGAGGCAGTTCAAGCCATTGGAATGGATCTCTGCCCTAAGTTGGGAGTCAGTATCCCTGTTGGCAAAGACTCAACATCAATGAAAGCCTCGTGGAAGGATCAAAAGAGTGGAGATTCTAAAACAGTCACAGCTCCTATGACTGTGGTTATTTCTGCCTTTGCGCCAGTCGCAAATGTTCGTAACACATGGACGCCTGCACTGCGAAGACTTGAAGATGTTGGAGAGACTACATTGATGTATGTTGATCTTGCTCAAGGTCACAAGGCTATGGGTGGATCAGCCCTCGCGCAATCTTTCGGTCAAGTTGGAGATGAAGCACCGGATGTTAGAGATACTGATCTCATCATTGACTACTTTGATGCTTTACAACAATTACACGAGTCAGGAGTTGTGTTAGCCTACCATGATATTTCAGATGGTGGTTTGTTGACTACCATCGCCGAAATGATGTTTGCTGGACGATGTGGCGCTGAGATCATGCTTGATGGAGTTTCTAAGAGCGCATCCCCATCTCACGTCATCGAAGCTTTGTTCAACGAAGAACTTGGTGCTGTTTTCCAAGTTCGTAAATCGGACGAGGTCAACTTTATGAGATGTTTTGCTACCTGTGGTCCTCCACCAGGACTCATTAGAAAGATTGGACGAGTACCAGCTGCATCGAAACAACAACTCGCCATTCGCTACGGACAGAAGCCAATCTTACACATGTCAAGATCTGAGCTTCAACAACAATGGACCAAGACATCTTACCAAATGCAACGTCTGAGAGACAATGTTGATTGTGCTGACGTCGAATTTGAAAATATTAAGGATGATCGCGATCCTGGTCTCCACTATACCCTTACCTATGAGCCTAAGGAGAACATTCTTCCATTGACGGCATCAATCACATCCACTTTCTCTAAGGCACCTCGCGTAGCTATTCTCCGTGAACAAGGAGTTAACGGTCATGCCGAAATGGCATTTGCTTTCAAGGCTGCAGGATTTGACCCTATCGATGTCCACATGACTGACATCATTTCTGGACACTATTCTCTGGCTAATTTTGTCGGTATTGCTGCCTGTGGTGGTTTCTCTTACGGTGACGTCATGGGTGCTGGTCGTGGATGGGCAAATTCCATTCTTATGCATGAACAAAAAGCTCGACCAGAGTTTGAGAATTTCTTCAAACGCCCTGATACATTTGCATTGGGTGTCTGCAATGGTTGTCAAATGCTTAGTCGCATATCTGAACTTATTCCTGGTACTTCTCATTGGCCTGTCTTCACCGACAACCAATCTCAACAATTCGAAGGCAGAGTCAGCATGGTGAAGATCCAAGACAATGCCAAGAAACCATCTGTATTCCTCCACGGTATGAATGGTAGTTCCTTGCCTATCGTCGTTTCACACGGTGAAGGTCGAGCTTCGTTCAAAAATGATACAGACTTGGGAGCCCTGAACTCTGATAATCTCATCCCAATCAGATACACAGATAACTTCGACAAACCCACAATGAGATACCCATACAATCCAAACGGTAGTCCTGAGGGTATTGCAGCAGTGAGAAGCTTGGATGGAAGAGTCTTGGCTATGATGCCTCATCCAGAGAGAACTATCATGGCAGATGTCGGTAGTTACGTACCAAAGGAGAGTGCAGAGGAGTGGGGAGAATTTGGTCCTTGGGTCAGAATGTTTAAGAGTGCTAGAAGATGGGTCGGCTGATTGGATCGTTGCGACGTGAGATGATATGAATGAGATATATGGAGAAAAAATGGCTAGAATTGGGTTAAGATATCATTGCATGCATGCTTACATTATTAGTGTCGATGGAGTTTAGGGGTGGATATTGAAATAGATAGATGGTTATCACGCGAATATTGAAAAAATTGGGTTCTTTTGCATGTTTTTGATGTACTTGAATTAGCTGTGAAAACTGAAGTATTTTGGAGCTAATTGCAACTACTTGTGGAGAACACCTTAATCCGGGACTTCCTGGATAAGAGAAACGTCATTCTACGCCCTTCGCCCTTGTTTGACTGCATCGCACTATCATCTCTTTCCTTGGGATACCCTCAACTGGAGTGAGAATTCAATCCCATGCCTGGTATTCGAATCATTCGTGGGTACGTACTGTGGTGTGTCGTCGGGGCGAAGATGGCTATACTACGGCATTGCGTCTTCTTGCCAACGATATCTGGGGTTCAAGCAACCGCCATGCTCATTCTGTTCAAGGCTCGATATTCAGTGTATTTAGTTTCGCCCATAGTAACAATCAGCAGGGTTATTTGCTAATCTTGAAGCTGAGAGCTCTGAAGGATGTATATGTAAGATGGTACGGTGTGTGTATTCGAGGGGTCGAATCAGTGAGACGCATCTATGAGAGGGTTTGGACTTTTCATTCGTGGGGTTTGTCTTTGACGGTGATCGGGAGACTCTGTCGCTAAGATCTTGAGATCTAGAGTCGTATATAAAGGTGCCGGGTGGGATGTTAGACGTGTTAGTGAGGCTCTTGTGGGGAGCTAATGCTGACTCTTGAGGCGAATAATAGTCTCATCGAAGATAGGAAGGGAGGAAAAAGGGATTGATTTGCTCGATAAATCCTGGGATGCACTTCTCCCCTCATGCCCAAGTCAACAAATTCCTAGCCAGCATTCTGAGCCCTGAGACGCTTGATGATTGCTTCATCCATATCGTGCTTATATTCAAGTTGGGTAATCTTTTGTTGAAGCTCTGCAATCTTTGTATCTTTGGTTTTAAGAGCTACGCGTGTGATATCACGACCTTTCACGATACCCGATATTTTTAGTGCATGTCTGGCTAGCATTTGACGTAGTCGAGCGGAGACTTCATCGTCGATATGTTGATCCTTGAGAAGATTCATAATGTCTTCCGTCATGTCGTAATTTTGCGGCGAATCTCCTGTGCTGCTCTTTGAAGGAGAAGCCATGAACTTGGGAGGTGGACCCTTCGTAGCATCTTTGAACCTCATGGGAGAAGGTGTCTCTGCTGGACTAAACAAAACGGATCGTTCATTTCCATCCCACATCCCGCCATTTATTCTCTTGCGGCTTGTAGAAGGAGTACCAAAAATGTCTTCGTCCCGTGTACCTTTTGTCGTAGGCGTGGGATACATATTAGCACCATTAATTTCTCCTTCGCCCCGCTTTCTTTTACTTCCGGGTGTCGCTGTCTTGCCATCTATTTTCCCCTTTCTTGGAGTCTCTGGAAAGCTTCCAGGGTCCGTTCTCTCAACAGTCTTAACCACTTTCTCCTCATCCTCTCGAGTTAAAGGCCATGCCCCAAACTCATCGTCTTCCTTCTTCCCAATATCTTCAAGCCATTTATTACTCGCAATCGCATGCCCTTCCAACGTTCTTTTATCTCTCGATGGAGTCACTGGTGAGCGCGATTCGGGTGTATGAGGCTCCGTTCTTGTGTTGTTCAGAACTGCGCCCATCTCCCTTACTTTAGCTTTATCGTCCCATAAGAAGAATCCACAGCTGGAATCTTTTGGTTCTTGACATGTGTAGAACCATCGACCTTTATTTGCTCCTTCTTTCTTGACTTGGAACCTTACGGCGGGTAGTCTGGGGTTGCAATTGCCTGTCGCTATGTTAACTAAATGATAAATAGATATCTCGTTTCGAGGTAACTTACACTGCCAGTTGCCATCAGAAAAGAGTCCATTCAGAGCAACCTTTGTTGGTGTTGCTTTGAATGATGGTGCTTTGGATGGTGACGCTCTGGATGGGGTTGCTCTGGATGGGGTTTCTCTGGATGATGTTGCGCCATTGCGCTTTTGAGGTGTGTTAAATACACTATACATTGTATATTAGTATGAGATAGAATTAGGTGTAGCAAGTCTTTCAAAGTATCATCGTCATTTCAAGAAGTGGTGGGAGTGAAACATCTCCCCTCTTGTTGACATCGTCACCATCGCAACCATTGGAGGGATGATTAACTTTATCCGTTATCTTATCGGAGAAGTCGATTTACAAACTGCATCGATGAATATCGGATTTCGGATAAAGTCAAGTACCGATCAGCAAAATAAGGGTATTATGTCATCAATTATGGGGATTCATTATCTCCAAATTAATTATTGTTGAATCTGTTGATTTGACACAACATCTAATTCAATTCTTTCCAATTGTCATTGCCAAACATTTTTTCGTGTCTATGGACTTTGTATTATACAACTTATCACGTCTGCCATTGCTGGCTTTGAATTGCCAAAACTACCACAGCCAAAATGGGTCTCGTTTCATTCATCACTGGCTATATAGCCCCTATGTTTATCATAATATCTCCCATAACGTCGTATGCGGATCAGACATACTCGATACATAGGAACAAGTCCAGTGCGGGATTTTCTTTGGATATCCCTTTGATCATGCTTGTAGCATCATTTCTGAGGTACGCCGTCCTGTAATGTGCGTTGGAAGACTGATGCTAATCCTCATCGTAGAGTTTTTTATTATCCTGGAGCCCATTTCGATACCTCCTTACTGATACAGTCATTCATTATGATTGCGATGCAAACCATGTTATTGAAGGTTGCGCTTGATCATCGACCATCGCCATCGTCGAAAGGGGGAGACGCAGCTATACCATTTGCTGGACACAGAGAAGGGGATGGAGCGTCAAGACCATATAACTTCTGGCAATGGCGTTCCCCAAAACCGTACGCATTGAATCACTGTGTTGCTTACCAAAGGGTTACATGATGCTAACGAAAAAATTCACAGTTACTGGCAATTCCTCCTTTACCTATTCATAGTTCTCATCGCATGCGAGCTTATTCTCTCTCCAGCTCCATGGTTCTATTCCGTCTACTCTGATGCAATCGGCTACATTGGACTCGGCGTAGAAGCTACCCTCCCAATTCCTCAAATAATTGCAAACTACAAATCTCGATCCTGCAAAGGTTTCCGTTTCTCAGTCATGGCCAGCTGGATTGCCGGTGATGTAATGAAGATGTTCTGGTTTTTTACGGCCACGAGTGCTATACCATGGGCTTTCAAACTTTGCGGAATGTTCCAGATGTGCTGCGATTTATTTTTGGGGTTGCAATTTTGGATGTATGGAGATGGTGATGGGAAGAAGAAGGATGACGACTTTAGAGCACCAATTGGGGAGAAAGATGCCCGGTTATCATGAGATGAATGGGCTAAGAATTGGAAGTAGGGGGAGAGCCGAACAAAATTTATAGATATCTGTTGATGAACAAGCGAGACGAACGAACGAAACTAGCGATGAAAATGACGGGAAATGTTAGTTAGAATACATAATGAAGTCGGAAGATTTTCCAAACTTATTAGAAAAATGTTAATGGTATATATTTATTTAATCAAATCCCTTTGTTGATGGGCATTTTCTCCTGAAATTAATGCGACCCCTCATACTCTTGAAATCACAATTGCTTCATCTTGGACTTGTCATGAGCGGTAGATTCCATGTCTGTGACATGATTGACTCTCGAGAGCCTGCCAGCGTGTATTTAAAGAACTCTGTCAAGTGAGAAGAATCACATCCTAGTGGTCGCTATTCAGCTTGGCACAACTGCTTCGGTTCACTTCTTGGAAGCTAGTCATCGCGTATTTAGCTAGTGCTTGAATGTTTTCGTTTAATATACGTTCTAATTCTGTCTCACTCACTGATCTTTTTCTTTTTTTGAAAGCAGATGAAAATGTACAGTGAAATTCTTGTTGTCAGATTTATATTCGAGATTATTCATTATTCACTAGGATATTGGTTATTGTGATTTTAAAATATCAGATGAGTATTCTATTATATAAGTTCATCAAATGTTTCTTTTCGATATAGTTTGATGATGATTTCCATATATCAGACGAATACTTCGAAATGCCCATACCCAAACCAAGCAATGAAAAATCTACATTGGTCAATCCTCTTGATTTCATTGCAGGATGAAATCTCCCTTGACAGTTTCATAACAGGCCTGGAAGAAGCTGGCTCCAGTCCAAACATTTATCACTAGATTTTGTTCAAACATGATTTTATTTTATATCCACCTCGACTCGTTTATTTACGGAGATAACGGCTCAAAGCAAGGGACTCGGCACTTGAAGATGATTGGAATTGAACTGTCTTGCTTATAACTTCTCGCAAACCATATAGCCACTAGATCCTGCACTCTCAATTCTCTCAACTATCCATTCACCCATAGCTCTCCCTCATATGACTGATTTACTATCACCATCATCTTCATTTATATCCTAATGTTCCGTCTCAGGGGTTCAGTTACACAGCATTTATATTGCACATACAAAACACTTAACAGCGACTCTTAAGCCCGCTCATATAGCTCGAGTCTTCATACCGCCCTGCATTCATCTTTTCGAATCATTTATGCCACTGGCCACGCTCTCTATTTTTACATCTACATGAACGTCGGACTTTTCTACAAACTATCCATCGGATGTACGTCAAATTTACCTTCTACTCACAAGCATCCATGAACATCCTTAACCGTAATATGAATAGCAAAAAAGTCTCTTTATAGTCCGTAACTAAGAGATATACAAGATGATAGGCCATTTCTCGTTAAACATTTTAGTGGATGTATATTTACCATTTATAGTCTCCCAAGCGATGAAATGGGTCTCCTCATTCCATGTCGCGTGGGCACCTATGATCTAGGTATGGAAAGATCCAAGACAGAGAAAGACATGAAAAAGAAAACTTCAAGAGCTAAAAACGACATTTAAAATTTCGAAGCATCGAATGACTTCCGACAAGCAAATGCACGAACCCCTCAGGATGTACATCAAGGTTAAACAATCCTCAACCATCCAATTGGCTGTCTCAATTCCCCAAAGTATAAACGCGTTCATACCCCTCAAAATTTGACCAATCTCACAACATCAATATTCTCTCAATGTAACACATTCAATTTTCTACAGCCTGAAACTCTCACATTCCATTGGCCACAAAGCTTCCCGCCAATAGATCCCCTCGAGATCCCCAAGCCTCGTCTGTGCGAGCTCAAATGAGGGGTAAATTTAGCGGGAATGTAACAAAGGAGGGGTAAACAACATCGAACCATAAAATTCAACTATATTGCTGAAGCTCTCTACACAATCGAAATTACTCTTGCTTTTATTTATCGCAGCTTCAGTCTCTTAAATATTCTCCATCGTGAAAGAAAAATCAATTGATCCATTGCGAAAAAATGAGAGGCGTAGTAATCAAGGACCGTAATTCCCCCTGGGAAGTCTCCAATGATCTGGAGAGACCTGTTCCGGGAAAACATCAGGTTTTGGTAAAATCGCTGGTTACAGGAATTAATCCTTTGTGAGTCCTCTATTTCTCAGATTCCACACACACACATTATCTCTCGCACTCTCTCACGCCCCCTTCTTCGTAAACGACCCATCTTACCAATTTCCCCTACGAGCACACCACTAAGTCAAAAATAAAGGGATAACATAATGCGACAAACCGGTTCACTCATCCCTTCCTACCCAATAGTACTCGGCTGTGACGCTTCAGGAGTGGTTGTTGAATTAGGCCCTGACGTTCAGAAATTCAGAGTTGGAGATGGCATTTTTGGATGTGCGACGAGAGTTGGAGAGGAGGGTTATGGTACTTTTCAGGAGTTTGTATGTTTGAGGTTCCTTTTCCATTCGGACAGGATACTTTGAATGGTGGGTGAGGCGGGTAGTCTGAGTAATGAGGTTGGGTGGGAATGAGGGATGGAGAATGGTGGGATGGAACAAGAGAGACGCTAACTATTAACTCTCTTCAATAGCATTTAATGGATGAGAAACTGGCGTTCAAGAGACCAGAGAGAGTTTCGGTTGAAGAAGCTGCGACGATTGGAGTGGGACTTTTGGTGAGCAAATCTTTCCCTCTTGCTAGTTGTCATGTTATGGTGATTGCGAATGAGCAATACTGACTGTAATAATGATAGACGGCAGCAATATGTCTAGATGAGGGAAATAATATCATGTATCCTGCCACTCGCGAGAATCAACCAGAATGGTTTATTGTGTTAGGAGGCACGTCGAACGTCGGACAATACGGAATTAAGGTTCGTGTATCCATATACAATTTGCAAATGTTGACATTGACAAATATCTAGCTTGCAAAATTGTGCGGATACCAAGTCCTTGCTTCATGCTCTCAATCTAATGCTGAGGTGAGCTTCGCAAAAGAGAATGAAGTTGAAATGATATTTATGAACTAACTAACCTATCCCACTACAGTTTGTCACATCTGTCGGTGCAGATGCAACATTTGACTACAAACAATCTACCGAAACACAATTGTCTGAGATCGAAAAAATTACATCGGGAGAGTTTGCGGGTATATTTGACGCATCAGCTGCCAGTTCCGCGGTAGGCTTAGCTGCTTTGAATACCAAATCCACAGCAAAAACACAAAAAACATTCTCGACTACGAATGATTGGTATGTAAAAGCTTCCAATCTCTTCACGCTCCGATAAAAAAACCCCAACTAAATAATAAATAGGGACGAAATCGACGAACAAAAGGACATCAAAATTTATCACGTCCACCTTGGACAAATGGGCAATTTTGGAGAGCCATTAGGCGACGCAACCAACAGCATTGTAGAGAAACTGATTCCAAGACTTGAAAGCCTGCTTTGGAAAGGATTATTAGAGCCAAATGAAGGAGAAGTAGTTGCAACGGGATTTGGAGGCGTAAGTTTTGGGGTTGATCTTTCGACGAAAAATGAGATTGGAGGAAAGAAGATATTGGTTAAACTGCAGGATTCTTAATGCGGAGGTGCATTCATCAATATGGTAATCACATGATGCCACTTATTGGTCTTTAGTTAGAACCCTCTCGGTAGTGAAGAGTTAGTTTATCTGATATGAGTTGTTGAATAAATCAGAGTGCAGCCATGTGACGGGAATAGGAAGCTTGAGTGTAACGGGATGTATTTCAAAACACATTCTGAGAACTTCTGGTTCAGCTATTTGCAGAATGATATGTGTGTAACTCGAACAACTCTTTGCACGCGGTTTCAGGTTTGATCAAAAGACCAAAAAGAGGGAAGAGGAGCATGTGATCTGTTTTAAAAGCCAAAAAGAGGGGTATATCTGATTTCGATTATTTTCTCTTTGACAAGTCTGGCCTTTCAATCAGAATTAGATATTAAGCTTACTGCTGTCCAGATCAGGTCACAGCAAGGGACAGCATGTATGTAGACCTGACTTGGCAATGTAACTCTCGGGTGAAGATCTCTTGCAGCGCTTCAGCATTTAAGCAAGACAATTGCCTACCCGCTCGTTGCTTGGTACAAGTGGTGAAAGTTCGTACTGTCTTCGCCTTTATACTGCTTCATCATGCGGTCGCTTTCAATTCTCTCAATAATGTCTTCGCTCACAATTGCGTCTCTTGGAGCTTCTATTTGTGGGAAGATAGTCGGTCGTGATACTGCACTTCTGTCTAATTATGATTTTATTGTTGTGGGTGGTGGGACAAGTGGTCTTGTCGTAGGAAATAGATTATCAGAGAATCCAGGGTAAGATTCACTCATTTTGATGCTTTGGATACCTACCTAAGAAGCTTACCATCACTAGCGACAACTGTTCTCATTATTGAGGCCGGTGAACTGTAAGTGCACGAGTAGTCTGATGTAACCATCTAATAGTATATAGTGATCAGGGAAAAGACTTCACATACATTCCACTTTTCGCAGGAATTGGGAATGGTGCGATAGGGACACAGTATGATTGGAATCTAACCTATGCTCCCCAGCCAGCTACAAATAATAGATGCATTGCCATACCACTAGGTAAAGTTGTAGGCGGTGGTTCTTGCTTGAATAAGATGACTTTCGATCTTGCTGGAAAAGAAGACTATGATCGTTGGATAGAAGTAGGAGCAGTTGGTTGGAATGAACTCTTTCCATATTTCAAGAAAGTAAGCATATTATGTGCAACACATCGAGTAATCCATGAACTAAATCTCCTGTCCATCAGTTGACTAATTTTACACCACCTGCATCTGAAATTGCAAAAGAATGGGATATTTAAACGGATCATTCAACACACGGATATAAAGCCAATGTAATGAAATCTGTGTTGAGAATTGACGTACTTGCTGACCGTGTCTATAGGTCCATTCAAGTTATCCAACATTCAATTGACCATCATCTAATTGAGTAAATTGTCCTAATTAAACTACTTTTGCTGAAATGTTGGTAGAGTACTATTTTGCGTCCATGAAATACCTCGGAATACGCAAGGCGTTTGACTCTTTGAATGGAGATGCAAATGGTGCTCTGTGGAATCCACAATCACTAGATCAAGACACTAAGACCCGCTCAGATTCTAGAACTGTTTATCGGAATAATGCAAATAATTGAACCAGTTTGCACCTCTTGAAGGGACAACAGGTGACAAAACTGATCACTAAACTAAGTAATGAAGGAGTTGCAATCATTGGTGAAGAGGTAAATATTTGTCGACCGCATTCTTTGGGTAACATTCTGACCACGAGAATAGTATGCAGCTGGCTCCAACTTTTCAAGATCAACCGTACTTGCGGCGAAGAAGGTAGTTCTCGCAGCTGGTGCTATTCATCCACCTCAGCTGCTCCAACTCTCTGGAATTGGGCTCTTCTTTACTTAAACGATTTGGTATCGAAACTGTGGTGAGCTTGCCAGGTGTTGGGGCGAATTTCCAAGATCACCCATTGCTCAGAGCTAGTACCACTTGTAGGTTGTTATAGCAAAAGTCTCCAAAATCATCCACTAACTGGATCAATAGTGGATATTTACCTTTCTGCGAACAATTTGACCAGTAATGCGACTTTCAACGCTGAGATGCAAGCATTGTATAGGCATAACAGATTGGTTCGTAAAGTGTATTAAACTTTCCAAATCTTTCCAAATCTTTCCAAATCGTTCTAATCGGGCAAAATAGGTCATACTCCAAAGAAGGGGGAGGCGAATATGCATTTGTTGGAACCCGTTCTTTCACCAATACAACTTCACAGATTGTATCCTCAGCCTCATCTATCACACCGGCATCATATTTACCATCCGATGTCGACTCCACTATCTTAGCAGGATATGAAGCTCAACACGAAATCCTCACTAGAGATCTCGCATCCAACAACATGCCAATTATGGAATTCATTTTTGGAGGATGACCAGTTTTTACTGGTCTTCAGCATCCATTTTCCCGTGGTTCGGTCGCGATCACATCCGCCGATCCTTTCACTTCCCCATCAGCAAACTCAGAATTCCCTACTCATCAGACAGATCTTCTTCTATTAAGCGCCGCAGCTAAGTTTGCTCGTAAAATAATCAACACACCAATATTCGCAACACTATCGCCAGTTGAGACAGTACGAGGCCCAAGTATACAAACAGATGCGGATTTTGAGGCATGGGTTCGTTCGACTATTGGAACGACATTTCATCCAAGTGGCACTACCTCTATGATGAAGAGATAATATGGAGGAGTTGTGGATTCCAGTTATAAGGTATATGAGGTCAGTAATTTGAGAGTAGGTGATGCGGGTACGTTTCCAATGATACAGAGTGCGCATCTGCAAGTGACTGTGTATGCCATGGCTGAGAGAGCTTCCGATGCGATTAAGAAGTCACGGAGACTTTGAGTCAGATGCTATGATAGGATAAATGTGCTGAATGAAATACGAGCAGATAGAAGGGGTAACTATGTTCATTCAAATCTTGTTGCTCTTCTTGCCGCTGGAGTGTTAAAAAAGCAAAGTATGATGGTGTATATTACCACCCCGTAAATTGGTGTCGTGATACCCAGTAGAAATCTTGAGGATATAGAACGTTGTCTACGGATTTAGTGAAACTTGAGTGTCTCTTCCAATTGTACCGGTGAGAATTTATCGAACAAATCTTCGCTTTTACGTAGTGTTCTTGAGTTTGGCAATTGTTAAATTCTGAGGTGTGGTTGCAAACGAAAAAACACGCTAGCATACTCTCCGACACAGGCACGTACGTGCCTATAAGCGAACTAAAGCCGGGCTGTCCTTTCCTTCCATCCAACTCTCCAATTACATTTCACATCGATTTCGGCATTTTGTATTTCTCCGTTGTTGATCTACATCCAGGGCACGTTTGAGAATGATGTGTTTGCTACTGTTTACTTGATAATGGCATTAACAATACTTTTTCTTCGTTGAAGACCAACGGACCCCCGGGTTTGAGAATATGACACCTATCCAGAAAATCCAAACCCTGGTAACGACAATCTTGTATTCTGCATTCTACTAACCGTCAGTTCTACAAACGAGAACTCTTCAAACACAAATCCAAGTGCATTGGTATGTCACTAGAATACCGCGGCGCGGGTTGGTTCCTCGGGTAAACGCAGTATTGACGTTGCTCGTGCGCATGTCTATAGGGGCTGGGCTGGATTCATCCGGACTTTGCTAGACTTGTCATATCTACCGGGCAAGAACCGTTTGGTCAATGACAGATCGACTGCCTCTTGATAGATTGTAAAGGGAGTTTGAGAAATTCCATCCAACGATTCTTTAGCTGAGCTGTCATGCAGCAGCCAGGAATATACTTTGCCTGGGTAACGTTCCACTGGAACCAATCATACGGATAAGCCAAAAAGCTTCTTGAGCCCTACCTATATCATGCCATACCATGCCAATGAATGCACAGCTATGGACATATCCCAGCTGCAGTGTCTACACCGTAACGTCTCACATCAGCCGAAAGTTACACATGAAACAGAGAGAGTACCCGTCAAAACGCAGATTATATCCACTGAGTCTCCATGCTCTCTTAACAACTATTTAACACACAACTCCACAATTTGATAAACATTAATAAAGACTTATTACGATCAAACTCACTCACAGCATTGTCGCCGATATTAACGGTGAACATTCACCAATCCCATAAGTTACAGCCTCAGAGGCACCCCACCAAAATCACTCCACCCGCCCAAACCACCCCACTATAGCTACGACTACCCTCGTATCTATCGTAGATACATAAACAAAGCTCTTCCTCACAGATCTTTCAAATCAACATTTCTTCCAAAATATCTCTCAACATGTCTCATTTCTTCCATGACGCCAAAGCAGCCATCGGCGACTTCGTACATGAAGTCGAGTCAGAGGTTTCGAAGGCTGCAGGAATCTCAGACGGCGAGAAACACAGCCACACTCATATCGGAGAGGCATGTCATGCACTTCATATAAATGGAAAGGAGAACAGATATGGCAGTTTCGCTCCTCCAAGAACTGGCCATGACATTAAATGGCATATTGACGGGTGTGCGTACATGTGGGCTGTATCTGTCGCCTTGGAAGAGGCACAGGAAAGTATCTGGATTCTGGATTGGTGGCTTACCCCTGAGCTTTATTTGAGAAGACCCCCATCGGCAAACGAGGAATATAGAATCGACCGCATGCTTTTGGCTGCTGCTGAGAGAGGTGTCAAAGTGAACATTATCATTTACAAAGAGGTTACTAAGGTCTTGACATGTACGTTTTATCCTCAATTCTGGCCACATGTCACGTGGACTAACCGCGATGTCAGTATGCTCCGAGCACACCAAGAAAGCTCTAGAGGTTCATCCTAACATCTCTGTATTCCGACATCCGGATCATGTTCCAAGTGGTATTCATCTCGAATCGGAACTTATTACCGACTTGAAGAATTTCAGTTTAAGAGACTTTGATCTTGCACAACTTCCTAAAGAGGGCATTGAAGCTTTATATGGAGCCCGAAATGATGTTATTCTATACTGGGCGCATCACGAAAAGCTTTGTCTGGTTGATAGCAAGGTCGCTTTCATGGGTGGTCTAGACTTGTGCTTTGGTAGATGGGATGTGAATCAGCATCCAATTGCTGATGCACACCCAAGTGACCTAGACAATATTGTTTTCCCAGGTCAAGATTTCAATAACGCAAGAGTGTATGACTTCCAGGACGTTGAAAATTGGCAAGAGAATAAGCTTGATCGCACGAAGTACTCTAGAATGGGATGGTCGGTATGTATTTTGGAAACACTCAAGTAGTTGTTGTACAATGAAATCTAATTGTTGTTGTAGGATCTATCAATGTCGTTGACAGGACCAGTTGGTAAGTTAATTAGAGATACTCCCACTATTACGCTCCCAAATTTCAATGACTAACACTTCAAAGTCGAGGATCTCCGAGCTCATTTTGTTCAAAGGTGGAACTTCATTTTCCGAGAGAAATACGACACTCAAGATACAAGATACACAGCATTGTCCTTGATTCCTAATGATATCCCTGATGGATATTATAACGAAGATGGTACAAATGTCGGTTCATCTACAGAGGGTGCAATCTCCGATACATTCCGTCGAGCGGGTACATTTTTTGGCAGATCGGGAGGTAATTCAGGGTATGGGGATGATCAAAACGGCGTTTCTATTCAGCTTGTAAGAAGTTGTACTGAGTGGAGCAATGGTGTAGCCACCGAGGTAATTACGTCGTTCCAAAAATCATGCCGCAGGATACTAATTTGGATAGCACTCAATTGCCAATGCCTACATCGAGGTGATTCAGCGAAGCCAACATTTCATCTACATCGAAAACCAGTTCTTCATCACCGCCTGTTCCGATGAGCAAAATCCTGTTGAAAACAAAATCGGAGCGGCGATCGCAGACAGAATCATTCGTGCTTATCAAAATGGCGAGCAATACAAAGTTATTGTTTGTATGCCAGCAGTCCCAGCTTTTGCAGGCGATCTCCATGCAGATGATGCTTTGGGAACTCGTGCAATTATGGAGTATCAATATAATTCAATCTGTCGTGGCGGTAACTCAATTATGGAAACAGTTGCTAAAGCCGGAGTACCCGATCCAAAGGATTATATCCGATTCTACAATTTAAGAAACTATGATAGACTTAACGATAACGGCACGATGGCTCGAACCGAAGAAGAAAGTGGCGTCAGTTATGAAAGTGCTAGAAAAGAGCACGATGATATCGTTGGCGCTGGATATGGCGGTTACGGTGAAGAAACTGGTGCTCGTAGGGGTCAAGAAAATTACGATTATGATCAATACCAAAGAGCCGCCCCTCGTTCCCAAGAACACGACACAGTAGCAGCATGCTATTTGGAAGATGGTCCATCCATTACATCCATTCCTTGGAATGGTACCCCAGAAGCCGAGCTCGATGCCTTCGTCAGCGAGGAACTTTATATCCATACCAAACTTCTCATCGCCGATGATCGTGTTGTAATCTGTGGTTCAGCTAACCTCAACGATCGCTCTCAACTCGGCACCCATGATTCCGAAATCGCAATCGTAATCGAAGACACCGAAACCGTTGATTCATATATGGACGGTCGCGAGTTCCGAGCCGCAAAATACGCCACTTCGCTCCGCAGACAACTCTTCCGAAAGCACCTCGGCATGATCGCACCACAAGATTGGACCAGACCAGATGCAAACTATATGCCCATCAACAAGGACCCCAACGATTACGACTGGGGCTCCGACTACGATATCGCCGTTCAAGATGTGTTTTCCCCCGAATTCACAGATTTATGGAATGGTCGTGCGAGAACTAACACAGAAGTTTATTCGAAAGTTTTCCATGCCATTCCTGCGGATAATGTGAGGAACTGGGATGATTATCATGAGTTTTATGAACAGTATTTTGTATCACCTAGTGATAAAGATACAAATGAAGAAGATAAGGAGCCCGCAAGATATCTCTATGGACATGTGGTGAAAGAAGAATTCCCAGGGGGCGTGGAGGAGGTTAAAGAGGAGTTGAGCAGGGTTAAGGGTATGCTTGTTGAGATGCCGCTATTGTTCATGGATGGGGTAGATTTCGCGAAGGAAGGGTTGAGTTTCAATGCTTTGACCGAGACGATTTATACTTAGAAGGAAATTTTGGATAGATATCGGGATTGGAAACTTGAGTCCCACTTCGTGGATGATTGGCAATGGTTTGGAAAGCTTTTGAAATTTTTCTAAATTCAGATTTGTCTTGAATATTACAATTAGATACAACAATTAGAGAAGCCTACTTGGTTACTAGCTACATAGATGACCTCAAAGATGAGAAGTTGGGGAATACGCATGGGTCAATCAGGGGCTTTACCGATCATCTGACTTTGAAGACATCTCCAAACGTGAGAATACGGCGCTGTGACTGGTTTAC